AAAGGATTCCGAAGATGCCTACCGTATCGAGGCCACCGCGGGAACCACGCTGGATATTCGCGTTGAGGCCCGCGAGCTGGGGTTCCCGCTCGATCCCGTATTGGTGCTGCTCGATGGCGAAGGCAAAGTCTTGAAAGAGCTGGACGACGCCGCGGGGGGCCGTGATGTTCAGTTGGACTTTGCAGTTCCGGCCGACGGCCCGTTGACGCTCGCCCTCCGCGATTTGCATGGCAATGGCGGGCCCCGCTACATGTACCGCTTGAGTGTTCGCGAGGCAAAACCCGGCTTCGAACTGACCGTGGCCAGCGAATCGCTTTCGCTTGAAGCCGGCAAGACACTCGATGTCGAAGTGAACGTCGCCCGCTCGCGAGGATTTGCCGAACCAATCGAAGTAACGGCCCTCGATTTGCCCGAGGGGGTCAGTGTCGAACCCGCCACGTCGGCTGCCGAAGGAGACTCGGCGAAGAAAGTCGTCCTCAAGCTCACCGCATCTGGTGCCGCTTTCAACGGCCCCATAAAGCTCGAGGGCCGCAGCCAGGACGACGCCAAACTCGCTCACACAGCCACCGCTTCGCTAAAGGTGCCACGCTCTCGCACCAATCTGATTTGGCTCACGGTCCGCCCCGCCGCCGAATAACGCTCGCGTGCTTTCAATCGCTGCAGGCGTGTCTGCTAACATAGGCCGTTCGACGATACGCTCTAGTGTAGACCAAAGGCTGCAACATGACCGAAGACCATCACGTAGGCCTAATCGGGGTGGGGCTCCTGGGCACGGCCATGGCACAGCGCTTCATCGGCGCCGGTCGAGATGTGCTTGGTTTCGACCTTGATGCTTCGCGGCGGGACGCACTTCAAAGGCTCGGCGGAACACCGACCACTTCACCAGCCGAAGTTATCGAGCAGCGGGAAATCGTTTTCCTTAGCCTGCCGACTTCAGACATCGCCCGCGAGGTTCTAGAAACAGTCAGCAACTCGTTTCGCACAGGCCAGGTGATCGTCGACACGACCACCGGCGATCCTCAAACCATGGTCTCGCTGGGGAAATGGACGGCCGAGCAGAAAGTCGACTATCTCGATGCCACCATCGCGGGCTCCAGCCGTCAGGCCGCTGAAGGCCAAGTGGTCGGAATGGTGGGTGGACCAGAATCAACACTCAAACGGTGTGAGTTCCTGCTGAACGACTTCTGCAAACAGGTGTTTCACTTGGGTGATTGGGGCGCCGGCGCCCGCATGAAACTGGTGCTGAACCTGGTCCTCGGGCTGAATCGCGCGGTACTGGCCGAGGGTCTGTCCTTCGCGGAAGCGCTCGGGATGGATGCCTCTCGGGCTCTCGAGGTACTTCGGGCCAGCGTAGCCTACTCGGGTGTGATGGATACCAAGGGGCCGAAGATGATCCAACGCGACTTTAGCGTAGAAGCCCGCCTGGCCCAGCATCACAAAGATGTACGTCTGATGCTCGCGGCCGCCGCAGAGGCGGGAGCAAAGCTTCCGCTTTCGAAGGTGCACGAACAACTCTTGGCCACGTTGGCCACCACCGGATTCGCCGATGTGGACAACAGCGCAATCATTGAAGCGTTTCGAACATCGCCCACGAAGAAGTAGCACCAGCGATCAATGTGCTCGCTGCGTTTAGCCGTTGCTCTTCACACTGGATTGCAAATGATTGCGGATCGTTTGCAACAGCCCCATCCTGTCGATTGGCTTCGCTGCGTAATCGTCGCAGCCCGCTTCCATGCACTGGTCACGGGCGCCGCTCATGGCATGGGCAGTGAGGGCGATGATGGGTTTTTCATAGCCTGCTTGGCGAAGATTTCGAGTCGCCTGGAATCCATCCATCACCGGCATCTGCATATCCATCAGGATGATATCGAACTCTGAAGATCCGTCTCCGTCCTCTCCCATGGCCAGGTCGTAAGCCAGCTTTCCATTTTCGGCCAACACGACTTCCGCCCCGGCCTTTTTCAAGACGAAAGAAATGAGCCGCTGATTGTCGGGACCGTCTTCGGCGAGAAGAATTCGAGCGTCAAGTTTTTCCTGACTACCTTTCGTTTGCGCTGCAACGTGCTCTCGTTTCGGCGGTGTGTCGTACATCTCCACATCATCGGCAGTACCGGTCTCGATGGAGAAACGGAAGGTACTCCCCTCATCTTTCACGCTATCGACGGTGATCTTTCCACCAAGCATCTCGGTCAACCGCAGGCAGATCGCCAGCCCCAGCCCCGTTCCTCCGAATTGTCGTGTGGTGGATGAATTGGCCTGGGCAAAAGGCTTGAACAACTTGGAAGACTCTTCGGGAGTTAGCCCGATGCCCGAGTCGACCACTTCGAACTGCAGCATGTTCACACCGTCGGCACGCTGGAGGTAAGTCAGCCGGATAGCAACTTGTCCAACGGAAGTAAACTTGATGGCGTTCCCGACCAGGTTCACCAAGATTTGCCGCAATCGCGTTGGGTCGCTGTAGATCTTCTTGGGAATCGGTGACTTGTATTCTACTTTCAAGTCCAGCTTCTTCGCTTCAGCCCTCACCGCCATTAGCGTCTTCACGTCATCGACCACTTGCGCCGGCGAGCACTCGATACGCTCGATGGTGAGTCGGTCCGCCTCGATCTTCGAAAGATCAAGGATATCGTTGATCAGCTCGAGCAGGTGCTCGCCGTTGCGTTTGATGACATTGATTGCATCCAGGTCGTCGGCGTTCTTGAGTCGCTCCATCAAGACGTCGGTAAACCCAAGAATTGCGGTCATAGGCGTACGGATTTCGTGGCTCATATGGGCCAGAAAGGCGCTCTTCGCTTTGGTCGCACTCTCTGCGATTGCTTTGGCCACCTGAACTTGTCGCAGCAGAATCTGTGAGTGGAGGGCGTTGCGAATTCGACTACGCACGATTCCGCTGGAGAATGGTTTTGAAACAAAATCGGTTGCCCCCGCATCGAGTGCGGTCACCACATCCGATTCTTTATCGTTCGAGGTAACCATAATGACCGAAAGCTCACCACACCCAAGGTGCGGCTTGATCTGGTGCAAGACCTCCAACCCACTCATATCTGGCAGTTGTCCGCAGAGCAGGACAAGATCGGGGCGTTGCTCGTCAATGGTTCGTAGAGTCTCGGCACCCGTTGTAGCGGCCAGCAGGTTGTAACCTTCCGGCTCGAGAACGTCGCGCAGTATCTCGCGTATCGTGGCCGAAGAATCCACGATCAGCACTTTCTGCCGGAAAGATTCGGAATCGTTGAGAAAGTCACTCGACATAATCGAATCTATGAATCCAAGGTTCAGGTTGCGTAGCTAAACGTTGTTGCCGTGGCTGAGCGTGCTGAGACTGAATTGCTGCCGTTAATGACGGCGGCGCTCACGAACACGATCTCCAATGGCGACCAAACGTGGAGGCCCCATAGTCGATCGATATTGCGAGACCGCTAGACGGTGCCTATTGCGGCGTAGTTTCGCCAAAGCACCTTAAAAACATAGGTCGAGGGAGCACACTTTAAAGTGTGCAGATGTGCTACTGCGGATCGTAACGACTAAATCGACTCGTCTGCTGAAAGCGCATGTGCGTGCAAAGCACAGAATCGCCACCAAGAAGCTCGTAAATTGATCATGCGTGCCGCCCAACGACTTACGAGATAGTGGCATAAATCGCTTACCTTTTGGCACTTTCACCTAGAAGTGGCGGGAGGCCGCAGTATTCAATGAGCACCTCCGCACGTTTAGAAAACTCACGAACAATTCTGGGCAGCATGCATAACAAAAAAAGGCCTGCGACCTCGGCCGAAACCGTGATCGCAGGCCATTGGGTTTTCTGATGAAATGCCTAGACCTTCACACCCAACGAAGAACGGAGGCTTTCGAGCTGTCCTGAGGAGCCCAGCATCTTGTTCTTGTGCGTGATGTACTCGGCATAGGCTGCCATGAAAGGCTTACCTGGAGTACGGGGATCGAAGTCACCCGGCTTGTCGCGGAACGTCTCGCGGTAAACGGCACACCACACGAGTCGACCATCGGTGTCGATGTTCACTTTGGTCACGCCAAGCTTCGCCGCGGGAAGGTAGTCCTTCTCGGGCACACCACTGGTATCGGGGAGTTCGCCGCCGGCCTTGTTGATGCGTTCAACCCATTCTTTCGGCACGCTAGACGAACCGTGCATGACCAAAGGGTAGTTGGGAATTCGCTTCTGAATCTCTTCGATGCGATCGAAGTGCAAGCCCTGGGAACCCGTGAACTTATAAGCACCATGCGAGGTGCCAATGGCCACGGCCAGCGAGTCGCAGCCCGACCGTTCGACAAATTCCACGGCCTCTTCGGGGTCGGTGAGACAAGCGTTTTCTGCCGACACCTCGATGTCCTCTTCAACACCGCCCAGCATGCCCAGCTCGGCTTCGACCGAGATGTTCTTCTCATGGGCACGCTCGACCACACGCTTGGTGATGGCGATGTTCTCGTCGAAGCTCTCGTGCGAGGCATCGATCATCACCGAGGAGTAAAACCCACTGTCGATACAGTCGTAGCAGGCTTCTTCGGTACCATGATCGAGGTGAACGGCAAAGATCGCTTCGGGGAAGACATCTTCGGCCGCGCGAATCATGGCTTCCAAGAAACGCTTATCGGTATACCCACGTGCACCGCGGGAAATTTGAATGATGAACGGGGCGCTGAGTTCGGCGACCGCGGGTTCGTCGTTGGAATCTTTCAAACCGAGGTTGCCACGGAACAGGCCCACGCACTGCTCGAGATTGTTGATGTTATAGGCCCCGACGGCGTAGTTTCCGTAAGCGTGCTCGAACAGAACTTTTGTTGGAACAATCATCGCCAACTCCTCGTGGTCGACCGCATGGCGGCGGTCGTACTCAAAAAAACCAGAACTTGGGAAAACGACTCTCTCGCCGCCTGCCGCTAAGTTTAGCTCGCTGTCTCAAAACTGAACAGTGGAACGGCCGTCAGCGAGGGCAGTATACTGCCCATTTTGCACATTTTCCTCGCGTAAGTCGGTATCAAGGCTTCTAATGTCCACCTCGAACAAAACTTCCTCGCCACGTTCCGGAAATGGCGCAACCCTGATTACGGGCGCCTCGCGAGGAATTGGTCGATCACTTGCCGCCGAGTTCGCCCGCAACAAGCACGACTTGGTTTTAGTGGCCCGCAGCCGTAATGAGTTGGAAAGTGTAGCCGAACAGTTGAGGAACGAGTTCGGTGTCCAGGCGACTGTGCTGGTTCACGATCTATCGCGACCGGAATCGCCCCAAGCACTGTTCGAAGAAGTTACGGCCAAGGGAATCGAAGTCGAGGTCCTGGTCAACAATGCAGGCTTTGGCAACTGGGGAAGGTTCGCAACAACCGACCTGCCGACCGACGTCGATCTGATTGAAGTCAACATTACAGCACTGACCCAATTAATGAAGCTGTTCCTGCAACCGATGATCGATCGCGGGAGCGGTCGGGTGCTGAACGTGGCCTCGACCGGGGCATTTCAGCCGGGCCCCATGCTGGCCACGTACTACGCCAGCAAGGCTTACGTGCTCAGCCTTTCCGAGGCAGTCGCCTGCGAACTTCGCAAGACCGGCGTCACGCTCACGTGCCTTTGCCCGGGCGCAACATCGACCAGTTTCATGGATCGGGCCAACATGAAAAGTCTCCGCCTGTTTCGTTTTGGATTGATGGATGCCGACACCGTGGCTCGCGTAGGCTATCGTGGGACCATGGCGGGTCGGGGGATCGTGATCCCGGGGATCGCCAACCGAGTGCTGGCCTTTTCCGTCCGGTTCGCACCGCGGCGGTTCGTCACCCAACTTGTGGGATGGTTGATGAGCCGTGGTTGAGGCCCCCTCCAGTTAGTCAATCGTCGGATTGCGTGTTCCGCGCGAGAGTCGCGTTATTGGTTTGATGACAGCAAGCAACGCAACACCAACTCAGTCAACCAACAAACACCAGGCCGATGCTCACTATCGCTGGTGGATCATCGCCGGATTGATTCTGGTCTGTGTAGCCCTCTATGGCCGCACGGTGCAGTACGACTTCATCAGCTACGACGACCCTTCCTACATCACACAGAATCACCTCATCCAACAAGGCCTTACCTCCGAAGGCATTCGCAGCGCGTTCACCACTCCCCACTCCTACAACTGGCATCCACTGACGACGCTCTCGCATCTCCTCGATTGCGAACTCTTCGGTGCAGAAGAGGCCGGCGGTCATCACGGGGTCAATCTGTTGTTTCATGCCACAGCGACGGTTGTGCTGTTCGTCGTGCTGCATCAGATGACCGGATCGCTGTGGCCCAGCGCTTTGGTGGCTGCATTATTCGCAGTCCATCCGTTGGGAGTTGAATCGGTCGCTTGGGTCTCCGAGAGAAAAAATGTGCTTAGCACGTTCCTCTGGTTCGTGACCATGGGGGCGTATCTGCACTACGTGCGACTTCCGAACCTGAGTCGTTACCTTCTGGTCGTGGTCAGTCTTGCCCTGGGGATGATGGCCAAGCAGATGCTGGTCACCCTGCCCTGCGTACTCCTGCTGATCGACTATTGGCCGCTCCGACGAATTCGCTTCGAGGAAAACCCTCGCAATCGAGTGCAGCCCCCACAGACAAGCCTGTCCTGGCTCATCGCTGAAAAAGTTCCATTCCTAGGAATCAGCCTGGCTGGCAGCGCCTTGGTGCTGTGGGCGCAAGGACACACCCAGATGTCGCTCGATTCGTTACCGCTGATGGCCCGCATCGAGAACACACTCATTTCGTACGTTGCCTACCTGGGACAATTCATCTGGCCGGTCAATCTGCTGGTGTACTACCCGCTGCGAACCGCCAACATGCCGCCGGAAGACATGACCGGAGCACTCCTACCGCAAGCGGTGCTCAGTGCCCTGGTGCTGATCGCCGTCTCGTTACTCTGCCTTCGAACGTGGCGAACGCGCCCGTACCTGATCGTCGGATGGTTATGGTATCTCGGCACACTGGTCCCGGTGATAGGAATCGTGCAGGTTGGCAATCAATCGATGGCCGACCGCTATACCTATGTGCCGCTGGTCGGCATTTACATCATGATCGCCTGGACAGCGGCTGAGTTCGTCGCCCGTCGCGAGGCGGCTCGGCCCTGGGTCGTCGGCGCGGTCGCCATCTCGTTGGTGGTGTTTTCGGCCCTGACCTTTAAGCAGGTTGGCTACTGGAAAGATTCCACCACACTGTTCACGTACGTGCTCGAAGTAAACGAAGCCAACGCTGTCGCGCAGCACGCAATTGCCGAGTCTTTGTACGAGGACAAGAAGTTCGAACAGGCCGAACACCACATTCGTCGGGCCATTGAATTGCGTCCCACCGAGCCGCGCCCTTATGTCTCGCTGGGCTATGTCTACTATCGTCAGCGAAAATTTGAACAAGCCCTGGAAACTTTCAACCGGGGAATCGCAATCGACCCTAGCAGTTCCTTCGCGTACAACGGTCGCGGATTGGTCTTTCTCTCGGCAGGAGACTTCGCCAAAGCCCAGGCCGATATCCAGCGTGCGTTGGACCTTAACCCTCACAACGTGAATGCCCTGCTCAACATGCAATTGGTCCTCGGGCAATCGGCCTTGCAAGATGGTAATCTCGATCAAGCCGAAACCCACTTTCGGAAAGCCGCCGAACTGGATGACGAGGAGGAAACCGCGTGGGTATTTCTCGGAATGATCGCCGCCACTCAGAGTCACACCGCAGAAGCCCTGCAGCACTACCGCCAGGCGCTGAATCAAAACCCCGATTCGATCGAGGCCAACATCAATCTGGCCAACTTGCTGATCACCGCCCCCGACATGGCAATGCGAAACCCGGCCGAGGCCATACGCTTCGCCGATCATGCGTGCCAGGAAACCAACTACAACCGTCCCGATTTACTCAACACCCTGGCTGCAGCGTACTACTCCGCGGGCCGAAATGAAGAGGCAGTTCAGGTGGCCGAGCATGCCTTGAAACTCCCCGGGCTCACCCCAGCGTTGCGCGACCAGATGACTCAGAATCTGAAACTCTTCCGCGCACCGCCCTCGAATGAGCAGCCCTAGGAAACCCACTTAGCCTCAAGTTCGCAGAGTCACCACCGGCTGAGTACGATTGATGGGAATCGACGTGGGGCCCCGAACGTTTAATGGCTTCCCCATGCCCTCTGGCATAGTAAATCGGAAAGGCAGCAGAGGTTGGCATCGCCCATCGGACATACGCTGACTGGCTTGGCCATAGGTCGCCTTACGCAACCACGCGACTTCCGCGACACCGTCGCTTGGCTGGCGTTTGCCGTTGTGGTCTCGAATGCACCAGACCTCGACTTCATCGCCGGCATTGCGGGCGGGGGTGGAATCAATTCGGTCCACCGAGGCCCAAGCCATTCTATCTTGGCCGGGGTGGTCTTCTCCTTCGCCATCGCGTTTGCTCTGGGACACTACTGGAAGCACCGGCAACGATTGTTCTGGACCTCGCTGACACTCTACGGTTCGCACTTGTTTCTCGACATGTGCACCCACACAGGCATTCCCCTGCTGTGGCCATTTTCCAGCGAGCTGTACAGCTTGCCCGTGTCCATCTTGGTGGGCATCGATCACGGGACCCCCGCCTCTACGGTCGACCACTTCGTCTGGAGTATCGCTTCGCTAAGAAACCTGGGACCGCTGCTACTCGAGCTCTTGCTGTTTGTCCCTCTGTTCCTGATCGTCGTTCGATTACGAGGTTCGGGATTACCGCGAGAACCAGATTCGCAAAACACCCTGTCCAGAAAAGACCCTACACCACCCGAGCTTGATCCCACAGAATCGCCCAGAGCCGTGAACCAAGCATCGCCTGGCAAAGTCGAACACGAATTGAACCCGAAAGACGACATGAACCTCGAACAACTTCGCGATCAAGTCAATCTGCTCCAGCGCCAAGCGAAGTGGACCCAAATCGCCCTACTAGCGGCCATCGCCCTCATCCCTTTGATCGTGATCCTGGTGCGAAACTTCTACGGAAGTTCGATCAGCGCCGAGCAGTTTGTGCTTCACGATGCAACCGGAACGCCCAGGGCGGCGCTGGTGCTCTACGAAGGCGTCGAGCCGTATCTGATCTTCTTCGGCAACGAGGGAGAAGACCGGGCCGTGATCGGGGTGGACCGAGACGGCAAGCCCTTGATGGGTCTGCTGGACAAGGACGAAGTGACGCGGGCAGCCATTCGCTTGGATCAGGACGATTTACCAATCCTCTCCTTGATTGGACACGATTCTCGCAACATCGTCCTCCAAATCGATAACGACGGGCTCGGAAAGCTCGTATTCACAAACGACGAAGATGCCCCCAAAGTCATCTACCCCTGAGCTAACTCCTTATCTGCTAAGGCGCAACCTGCTAGCAAGCAGTTCGCTCGTCCGTAGCGTCAACGTGACCAGTAACTTTGCCAACTTCTTGCTAGCGGCCGGGAGAGAATCTGGGAAAATAGAACCGGTTAGGAAAGCCCCTGGAACAATGGTTCACCTTAACCGTCGATGATGCTCTCCAGAGGGCTGCGAAATTGACGATATCGACGTAACGACTTGTTAGATAGACGGCAACAGATGAGCGCGGAGGCTTGTTCGAATGGTGGATCCCATGCGGTGGCTTAAGAAAGCAATCGGTCGACGCAACACCAGGACGAAGTCGTCTCGCGAAAATTCATTTGCGCGAACTCGTCGATGCCGAATTGAGACCCTCGAGGAATTGGTCCCGCTCACTGCGGTACCCACGGGCACGAATATCCAGATTCAAACCCAGAACCAGAACCTCGACCAGAACAATCCCGATGTGGCCAAAGACCCGGTCGGCGATTTCGTAGTGGTGTGGGAACAAGTCACTTCCGCGGGTAATCGCGATATCTTTGCGCGGCAGTTCTTTGCAACCGGAACTCCGAAAGGCGTCGAGTTCGCAGTTGCAACCACCACCCCAGATCAGTATTCCCCCCGGGTCGATATGGCGGGCGACGGATCATTCGTCGTGGTCTGGGAAGAAGTCGACACCGATGGCGACACTGACATTTATTTCCGCCGGTTTAATTCGGCGGGCAACGCCATCTCGTTGCCCACATTGGCCAACCCTGACGATCTGGTCAATCAATCCGATCCCGACATCGCCGTCTTCCCCACAGGCACTTTTGTCATCACCTGGACCAACGCCACCACGGGGACGAACTCCGACATCCAATTCCGCCGCTTCGTGTCGAACGGTTCGCCGCTCGATGCGGCTGCCCGCAATTTGGCGAATACCGCGCAGAACGAAACCCAAGGTCGTATCGCTGCGAACAAGGCGATTAGCGCCGACCGATTCATGGTGGTCTGGACCGAAGCAACCACGCGAGGTGATACCGATGTGATGCGCGACATGCGAAGCATCTTCACCGGCAATACCATCTCGGGGGCGGGTGTGGTAAGCGACAATGCGGCCACCCAGAATTTGAACCACTTCAACCCGTCGGTCGACCTCGATGTGGTTGGCAACGCCGTGGTGACGTACGCTGAAGAAGTCGCCCTCACGAATAACAATCTGTACCTCCGCCGTTACAACAATCTCGGTGTGGCCCAAACCACCGATCGCCAAGTTGTCGAAGACCAGGCTGCCGTCGACACCAAGGTGAGTCAGGTCGGTATCGCCGGCAATAGCACGTTTGTGGTGACCTACGTCATCGAGAATGGTGACGACGGGACCAGCGATCTCAGCTACCAGCGATTCGCGGCCGACGGCTCAAAGTTCGCAGGCCCACAAGAAGTTCTGCTGCCTCCCCACGATCCCGGGAATCAAACCGTTCCTCAAATCGCAATGAACGGGCTGGGCGACTTTACAATCGTGTGGCAAGACGATGTATTCCAGAGTGTGTTTGGCGATCTGACCTTCGCCCGAAACTTCCGCACTCCTCTGGACACCATTGGCCTCTACAACCCGGCCAGCGCGACCTTCTTCTTGCGGAACTCCAACACCACGGGCACCGCCGACATTACGCCCTTCAACCTGGGCACAATCGGCCCACCCCGCTGGTATCCCATAGCCGGCGACTGGGATGGCGACGGCGTAACCACCATCGGCGTATACGAACCCACGGGGGCGACCTTCTTCCTGAAGAATGCCAATACCGTGGGTGTGGCAGATATCACAATCAACTTCGGGTCGCCAAACTGGATTCCGATCGCCGGCGACTGGGACGGTGACGGCATCGACACCATTGGTGCCTACGATCGTCAGTCGTCAACATTCTTCCTCCGAAACTCCAACACCACGGGCGTGGCCGACATCACGGCCAACTACGGACCGACGAACCTCACTTGGACACCGGTTGCGGGCGATTGGAACGGCGATGGAATCGACACCATCGGGCTGTACAACCCTCAGCGCGGGGTGCCCAGTGTGGGTCGTTTCTTGTTGCGGAACACCAATACCTCCGGTCAAGCCGATGTAGCCTTCAACTTCAACTCGCCGAATCTTCAACCGGTGGTTGGTGACTGGAATCGCAACGGCGTTGACACAATCGGCACGTTCAATCCCGCCACGGCGGTAGTTTCCTTGAGAAACACTAACGACGCCGGTGGTGCCGATATCGAATTCACCTACGGTGCCACCGTTCCTCCGCTTACGGAAAGCTGGATTCCCATTGCAGGCGATTGGAACGGTCCCGGTGCCGCGGGCTTGGTCACTTCGACTGCGGTTCCGTCGAGCGACGCGCCCGAAAGCTTACTCGATGCGGCACAATTAGATTCCATCGTCACCGAAGCCATCCAACGATGGGAAATCGCCGGTCTGTCTGCTGAGCAGGTAGCCTTGCTGAACCAGGTTTCCATCGTCGTGGCCGACTTGCCTGGCAACTACGTAGGACTCGCTGAAACCAATAAAATCACGCTCGACAGCGACGCCGCCGGGCATGGTTGGTTCGTCGACCTCACGCCTGGCGAGGACGAAGAGTACACCGAAATCGCCAGCGAGTTGGTCGCTCGAAGCGATTCGGGAGCCGCCGGTCGCGTTGACTTGCTCACCACGGTAAGCCATGAGTTCGGCCATATCCTCGGCCTCGACCACACGCACGATGCTCCTTCGGACGTGATGATCGACACGCTCCTGCCCGGGATCCGTCGACTCCCCGATGCAGCCGCCATCGATCGTCTGCTGGGTTAGGCGCGACAAACTGATAGGCTGGTGTCCGCCCGAGAATTCAACCTATCCCCCGGTCGCATCAAGACTTCCAGCCGCACATCGTGGATGAGCGATATCGTCTACTTCCGCAGCGGGTACTCCCTGAGCGGTGAGTCGCTATAAATGACCTATGGGGTTGCGTGGTTTGTGCCGTCGCTCCCTGATGTCACTTTCCACGATCTTCCCGCGCGATGTCCTTCTCTCGTAAAAGCAGTCGGCGACGGTTCGTCGAATACTCCGCCAAGCTCAAAGAGCGCCGAGCCGCCGGTGAGTTCCGCGTGGCGCGTAAGCATCACGATACGCGTCCGCTCACGCCCAGAAGCCGAGCGTTCCTCGAGTTGCTGGTAGACTTCTGGGGTCTCGTCCGAGGTCACCGCGGAGCGATCAGTTTCGCATTAGCCACGCTAAGCGTATCAACGCTGCTGAAACTCATTCCGCCGGCGTCGACCAAACTGGTCATCGACTATGTGCTGACCGACAACCCCATTCCCGCCAGTGTCACCAGTTGGATTAACCTTCCTACCGATCGCTTCACCCTGCTGCTCTGGATCGCCGGGGCGGTCATCGCCATTTCGATCGTCGACGTCATCATTCACGTGTGGGGGCGATGGTACGCAACGCGGGCCACCAAACGGGTGCAGCTCTCCGTGCGGCGAAGAGTGTTCGAACATGCCGTGCGGTTGCCGCTCGATCGGGTGTATCAACTCAAATCCGGCGGGGTGTCCAGCATCCTTCGCGAAGACGCCGGCGGCGTGGCCGAACTGATCTTCAGCCTCTTCTACAACCCATGGCGGGCCATCGTCCAACTCCTTGGCAGCCTTGTTATCCTGGCCTGGGTCGATTGGCGGTTGTTACTCGGCTCCCTGATATTGCTGCCTACGGTGTTCTTTACTCATAGGACCTGGATCAGTCGCATTCGCCCGCTCTATCGCGACATCCGCCGGCAGCGGCAAGACGTCGATAGCCACTCGACCGAAGCCTTCGGTGGGATGAGGGTCGTTCGCGCCTTCGGCCGGCAGCGCAGCGAAGCAGCCCGTTTCGCCCGGGGCAATCACTTGCTGGGCCGGCAAGAACTGAGTGCGTGGTGGTGGGCCCGTGGCGTGGAACTGGTGTGGGAAATGCTACTGCCGGTCGCGTCCTCCGCGTTGCTGATCTACGGCGGGTGGCAGGTCTTGCACGACCAACTATCGCTCGGCGATTTGATGATGTTCTTGGCCTACTTAATGATGCTGCTGGGCCCCCTCGCCACGCTAGCCAACAGTGCGACCCAACTGCAGAACAATCTCGCTGGGCTCGAACGCGTGCTCGACTTACTGGAAGAACCCACCGAAATGCCCACCCTACCCGGGGCCGTTAGTTTGCAACCCAAGGATGTCGAAGGCCACATCACACTCGAGCACGTCGACTTCGCCTACAACCAGAGCGATCAACTGGTGCTCCGTGACGTATCGCTCGACGTTCCCCCCGGTCAGATGATCGCCCTGGTCGGCCCCAGCGGATCGGGCAAAACAACGCTGTGCAATCTGGTCGCCCGATACTACGACCCCACCGCAGGCCGCATCACGCTCGACGGGATCGACCTTCGCGAGATTGAGGTGGAAAGCTACCGCAACCTGTTGGGAATCGTCGAACAGGACATCTTCCTCTTCGATGGCACCGTGGCCGAAAACATCGGCTACGCCGTCCGCCATTCGACCGACAGCCAGATCCGCTACGCAGCCGAGGTGGCCAACGCCGACGGGTTCATCGAGGAACTGCCCCAAGGCTACGACACCGTAGTTGGCGAACGAGGAGTACGGCTCAGCGGTGGTCAAAGGCAGCGAATCGCCATCGCCCGGGCCGTGTTGGCCAACCCCCGGATTCTCATCCTCGACGAAGCCACCAGCAACTTAGACACCGAGAGCGAACGGCTCATCCAGCAAAGCCTGCGGCACCTGATGGAAGGCCGCACCAGCTTCGTGATCGCCCATCGGCTCAGCACGATTACGCACGCCGACCGCATCGTGGTGATTGAGAATGGACGCATCGCCGAAATCGGCATGCACGACGACCTGATGGCCGCCAGTGGACGCTACCGCACCATGGTTCAGATGCAGCTTGAAGGCGTTTAGAACTTGCCAGCCTGGGAGCGATTACTCTTCTTCAATCGCTTCTTTCACTTGCTGGACAAAGTGAGGCTGCTTCGACTTGGTGCTCAGTTCGTCGGCCTTCTTCTCAGCCTGCTTGCGTTGGCTGTACTCGAACAGCGCCACGCGTTTGAGCGACTGGTTGAAGACGCCCCAGTAGGCCTTCATGCGGACTTCTTCGGCGGCCTTTTTCGTGCGGCGACGGGTCGTTTTGGCTGCTTTCTTCTTGGCAGCCTTCTTCTTCGTACCCTTCTTCTCACCATCGGACAGCTTTTCGGCGGCCTCGGCTTCTTCGCGCAATTCTTTGCGGTTTAATACCTTACGCGCCATCGGCTTGATCCCTTTCTGAGCCCAACCCCACAAGATAATCGACAACCAGGGCAAACTACCCCACCGCACGAGCCCCCATCATATCCGATTTCCCCCCACTCCACTACCGGCGATGGGAAGTTGGTTGCCCACCTGCCACAAGCCCGTAGAAGCCTGCCACAACGGCGACCGCTCGAGTTCAACCGAGACCTCCATCGCAACACCGAGAAGTCGACTCTCAACATAGGTGGAACTAGCATGAGGGCTCTAACCCCATCCTTAGAACGAGCGCAGGATCTCCCAATGCCGCGAATACTTCCCGCTCTTCTGATCACTTTGCTACCAGCATTCGTAGCGGCTGCCGATCGGCCGAACATTCTTTACATCATGTCCGACGATCATGCGGCTCATGCCATTTCGGCATACGGTAGCCGCCTGGCCGAAATCGCCCCCACTCCCAACATCGATCGTCTGGCCCGCGAAGGTACTTTGTTCACCAATGCCTTCTGTACCAACTCAATCTGCTCTCCTTCCAGGGCGTGCGTGCTAACCAGTCAATACAACCACATCAACGGCGCGTTCGATCTCGGGGGCCGTGTAGAACCGGGGAAGCAGATGCTGGCCATCGAAATGGGCAAGGCCGGTTATCACACCGCCATGATCGGTAAATGGCACCTCAAGGCCGAACCAGCCGACTTCGAGTACTACTGCGTTCTGCCCGGCCAAGGAAACTACTTCGACCCCGAGTTCCGCATCCGTGGTGATAAGCCGTGGGGGAAGAACACGATCCGCTTCGAAGGGAAACACTCGACCGATGCCATCACCGACTTAACCCTCGAATGGCTTAAAGCAGGATGGGACAAGAACCGTCCCTTCTTCCTGATGCATCACTATAAAGCCCCACACGACTACTTCGAGAATGCTTCCCGTTACGAATCGTATCTGAAGGACGTCAACATTCCGGAGCCTGACACACTGTGGAACCGCGACTCGCGTTTTGGCTCGCTGGCTACGCGGGGTGACAACGACGAGTTGATCCCACACATCGGCACCTCAATCGGTCCCCGCAACCCTCGCCGGTCTTACTTGCAAGACTTACCCAAGCGCTTCCCAGACGAGTTTCCCGACCAATTCGATTCGGCTAACTACAGCGACGAAGAAAACACACGCTTGGCCTACAACGCCTACTTAAAAAAATACCTGCGATGCGTGAAAGGAGTCGACGACAACCTGGGACGCTTGTTCGCGACACTGGAAGCGATGGGCCAGCTCGACAACACCGTCGTCATCTATACGGGCGATCAGGGATTCATGCTCGGTGAACACGACTATCAAGATAAACGCTGGATGTACGAGGAATCGCAGCGGATGCCTTTCCTGGTCCGCTATCCAAAGAGCATCCCCGCCGGGAGAGAAATCTCAGCAATCATCGAAAACGTCGACTACGGTCCGACGATGTTGGAGTTCGCGGGTGCCGCTATTCCGACCTCAGTACAAGGTCGATCGTTTAAGTCGCTACTCGAGACCGGAGGAGAGCCCGACGACTGGAAGCAGGAAGCATACTACCGGTACTGGATGCACATGGCCCACCACGACAACCCCGGGCATATGGGCATTCGCACCAAGACCCACAAGCTCATCTACTACTATGGCTGCAACTACGACGGCGAATACCAAACGCCACCCGGCTGGGAACTGTACGACCTGGTCCGCGACCCACAGGAAACCGTGAATCTCTATGACGACCCCGCACACGCCGAGTTAGTTGCCGAACTGAAACAACGCTTGGCTGAAACCCGGCTCCGCGTGGGCGACGACGGAAGCCACTTCCCGAAATGCGAAGAGGTGGTGCAAGCGTTCTGGGATTACGATGAAACCGCTCGAGCCAAAGCCCGCGAGATCTCGCACGATTTTCTGCAACGAAGGCTGCAAGAGCTGAGTAACTAAACGACTTTCCGCTCAGCGCCCCAGGTTCTGGCAAGCATCCGTATACAGAGCCCGAATCGCCGCCTCGTATGACGATTCAATCTCCGCCAGACAATCGGTTCCGTTCGTTACCCGATACGTCTCCCCGGAACGCTCCACCCGATACTGCGTGGCGAAGGTGGTACTGTCAGAAATGCCAGTGCTGTGAACCGCCTCTACAAATCGCGCATGCAGCCGGCGGAATTCGCTTTGCTCTTCCGGCGAGAGACGATTCCACGTGCCAAGATCGACCATGGCTTTTCCCGAATAAGGACGGAGGTTGTTTCTACAAGCCTAGCCTATGGACTCAACTGCCAACGCAGTTTGTCGCCGCCCGGAGGAATAAGGAGCCGCTGCCGGATCCACCGCTTCGTCCGGATTCTGGAACATCCGCACCAACACCAGGTGCAGCGAGGGCACAAATAGCAGGGCCAGCACCGTCGCACCGGAGACCCCGCCCGCGATCGCCACAGCCAGCGGAGGCCAGAACTGCCCGCCGGCAATCAATAGCGGAGTGAAGCCGGCGATCGTGGTGATCGTGGTCGAAAGCACGTGCCGTGTGGCTTTGACCACCACATTCCGCAGTGCGATCACGTCGCCCACGGCGGCCTTCTCATCACCACGGGCAGCCGCCAGAACGACGATCGCATCGTTGATCGCCACGCCCACCAGACCCATGGTTCCAATGATTGACATGAAGCCGAACGGAAAACCAAACACCCACAGCGCCGCCAGGCCCAACCCAATCGACATCACGCCCACCAGGGCAATGATCGCCGCCGCCCGGAACGATCCGAACGAAAGCACCAGCGTAGCCGCCATAAGCACGAGCAACACACCCACGGTCGACATCAAGTTGCCCACTGCATCATCGCGTGCTTCTGCCTCGCCACCAACCGTAAGCGCGTAGCCCACCGGCAGTTCGAAAGTAGAAGCATCAAGTCTTCGCTGGAAATCACCCAAGACCTCGCTCGGCAACACCCCAGGCGTAAGATACGCCTGAATCGTCACGTTCCGCCGACCGTTGCGACGGGTAATGGTTCCCTGCTCGGGGATGAGATCGATGTCTGCCACCGACGAAAGCGGCACAAAGCCACTCTTGCCCGGCTGCGAAGAAACCAATTCCAGCGAAGCCACCCGATCCAGGTCACCCCGACTGGCTTGCACCAGCCGCACGCGCAGCGGAAGCTCTTCGGTCGCCTCCAACAGCGATCCACCAACGGCACCTTCCAACGTATAGTCGAGCTGCTGTGAGATCGCCGTATGATCAAGCCCCGCAATGCGGGCTTCCTCTTCATCGACCCTTAAGGCGAGCTTGGGCAAGGTTTCCGAAAGATCGTCGCGAACGTGAATCACCCCCGGCACGGCGGAGAGTTCCTTACGAGCGGCCACACTCAACTCGCGAAGTTTCCCCAAGTCGGCACCGTAAAGCCTCAACTCCACGGGGGCATCGAACGGAGGTCCCTGTTCCAACTTGCGAACCAGCACCGTCATACCGGCGTATCGCTCATCCAGTTCGTCTTGCAACTCGCGAATCAGCGGCTCCACCCGCTCGGGCGAATCCATCTGCACAATGCCTTGTGCATACTGCGGCGTGAATTTATTCCGCTCAACCAGGTTATAATAGAACGAAGGAGCACTCTCCCCCACAAACCATTGCACGTTCTGCACCCGTTCGTGGGCCATCACCATATCGCGAACTTCCATCGCCGCCTGGCGCGTCTGCTCGATGGCGGCATGCGATGGCAACTCGAGTTCGATCTGAAACTGATCGCGATCGGCCGGCGGGAAGAACTGCTCTTTCAAAGTTCTTCCCTGAATGAACCCAAACATGGGCAACAGCATGCCCAGCATCAGGGGCAAGTAAGGTCGAGCAAAGAGATAATCGAGCACCGCTATGTAGCCTGCCCGTAAGCGGTTGTTGTGAACCCCATCTTGCCACCAACGAGTACTTTGGGTGGTCCGCTGAATTTTTTGGGCCAGCCCCGCGAGTGTCGGTACGACGGTCATCGCCAAGAAATACGAACTCGAAATGGCCAGAATCACACTGATGGCGATGGCCCCTACGAATTCACCACCTGGCCCCGGCATCAAAGCCACCGGGGCGAACGCCAAAGCCGTGGTCAATGTCGAGCCGAACAACGGAACTGCCAGGTGTCGCACGCTTTCGCTGATTGCCTGCGGTGGCTTAAGCCCCTCACGCAGGTTGCTCCGCACCTCGTCGACCATCACGATCGCATTATCGATCAACAGACCCAGGGCGATGATCAACCCGGTGACCGACATCTGGTGAACCGGCATCCCCAGCAGCCGCATACCGGTCAGCACCATCAGGGCCGACAGTGGAAGCGAGACGCCGACGATCAGTGCCGATTGCCAACCCATCAGCGTGAGCACCACCACCATCACGGCCATGGCCCCTAGCAACAGGTTGAACAGCAACCCGCTCAGCCGCACATTCACATAGCCCGCCTGATCGAACACCGCCTTCAGCTCAACCCCGCGGGGCAAGGTCTTAGAGAATTCCTCCAACGCCTCATTGGCGGCGTTCGACCACAAGTCGATCCGTCGCGAAGATTCGACCAGTGCCGAAACGGCCACTGCTGGTTGGCCATCGATAATGGCCATGTTCAGCGGAGGATTAGCAATCGCTTTCCGCACATCTGCGATGTCGGCCAGCAACACGGTCTGCCCCGACGAGCCGAAATCGACGGGGGTGCGGCGAATACGTTCGAGCGAGTCCAACTCCGAGGCCACCTCGAAAACAAAGTTGCCCTTCTCACCGCGAAGTTGTCCGGCCGTGACTTTGGCGTCGCTGGCCCGAAGTTGCTCGGCCACCTGCACGACCGAAAGCCCCAAGGTGGCCAACTGATCAGGGCGGATCTCCACCACGATCTCTTCTTGGCGTTCGCCAAACAAATCGACCTGCTCGGTCCACGGCAGGGCCTGCATCACATCTTGTAGTTCTTCCGCCAACCGGCCCATGATGGCAAAGTTCGGCGGCCCCTCTCCAGTCCACTTTAGGGCCGCAATCAATCCATAGGCCCCCATCTGGGCTTCTTCGAATTGTGGAATGCCCGCATCGACCGGCAACTCCGGCTCAACGTCGCTCAACTTGTCACGCACACGCGACCAGATTTCGTCGGGTTCATACACCCAATCGTGCAACTCGATAATCATCGACGAGATGCCGGAGAGAGAAGTCGAGGTAACGAGCTTGATCTCTTCGATTTCGTCTAGCGACTTTTCCAGCTTCTCGGTAACCAGCGATTCGACGCGTTCGGCACTCGCCCCGGGGAAGACCGTCCGCACCAGACCTACGCGCTTGGTCATTTGAGGATCTTCAATCCGCGGCAGCACCATGTAGGCCGAAAGGCCCGAGACCAGAATCAAGCAGATGGTCAGGGCCAGCAGCCGAGGGTTGCGATAGAAAAGGTTGCTCATCAAGATCTTCCTTCACACTCGCCCGGCCAATCCCTCGGGAGGCAAGCCAATCAAATGGCGTGAAACGCTACCGCTGTGTTTGCGAGGGTTGAGGTTTGGTGGCGTGCGACTGCTGGTCGAGCATGCGAACTTGCTGCCCGGCCACTACGCGATGGGTTCCCGAGGCAATGATCAGCTCGCCGTCGACCAAGGTGCCACGCACCAGAACCCGATCGCCCTCGGTATGCAGCACTTCGACCAACTGCTGGTGCACCTCCCCATCGACGACGCTGTAGCAGTTCCAAAGCCCACGCGGCCCGGCGGCCAAGGCATCGGTGGGAAGCCAGAACCCCTGAGCCTCGGTTTCTGATTCGACACGCAGCCGCACAACTTGCTCAGGCACCAACACCGCGCCGGTGGCTTCTTTGAAAGTAAACACCACAGTTCGCGTACGACTTTCGGCATCGAGCCCCGGCATCAGGCTCTTCACCACGGCCGGATGAGACTTTCCGTCGACCTGAAGTTCGACCGAGTGCCCCTTTTCAAATCGGGCCGCCACGTTCACCGGCAGACCAATCCAGGCTTCCAAGGCCTGGTCTTCTACCAGCTGCACGATGGGTGCCCCCGCGGCGATCACTGCCCCTTCATCGACCATGCGTTGCGACACGGTTCCGGCGAAGGGAGCCAGTAAGGCACTGTCTTCCAACTCGATGTTCACATCCGACAGTTCGGCGTCGAGCGTTTCCAGCACCGCCTTCTGCGCGTCGATCTTCTCTTGTCGCGTGCCTGCGGTTAGTTCATCGAGTTGACGCTGGGCCGCCTCCAGACGTGCCTCGGCCGCTTGAACGCCGAACATCGAGGCGTCGAATTCTTCCTGCGGAATGATACTGTCTGCCAACAGCGACTCGCGCCGCACCAGGTTGGCCTTCTCGAGATTGAGTTGGGCCTTCAGATTGTCGACGTTCGCCTCGGCCGCATCGATCGTCTCTTGCCGCGGGCCGGCCACCAGCTCGGCCAGCATGGCGGCCGCCTCATTGCGTCGCGATTCGAGGCGCGTTCGCCCCACTTGCAAACGCCGCGTATCGAGTTCAGCCAGCACCTCGCCTTGCTCAACGCGTTGGCCTTCGTCGACATAGATTGCCTTCACTGTGCCCAACCGCTCGAAGCTCAGCACCGTATCGCGACGTGCGCGAATCACTCCCGTGTAGGCGCGGCCCGTCACGTACGAATCGACTTGCTTAGCCAGCACCGTTTCCACGGGCAAAGGCTCGTTATCGACCGCGGCTGTCGACTGTTCGGCGGTTCCCGTGTTCAGCGAGACCCATCCTGCGGCGACGGCCAACACAACTAGCGAGGCCGCTACCACAAAGCGCTTCGTCGTAATCTGACGCATCGTCATTTCAGAGCCCCTTTGCCAGCATGGTGGCTGCTTGTCTCGATTCCTCCCCGAACACCTCTCGGTGCACCCGGGCAACGGTCTCTTCGTAGTTCCACTCACCCGAGGTGGGCTTCCAACCAAACCCGTCGAGCATGGCCTGAATGTTGTTGGTCACGCTGCTGAAAGGATCACTAATGCCCAACTCAGCCAGTGGACCACTAGTTGAAATGATCGAGTAACCACCGAACGTGATCGACCACATCCCAAAGACCATGTCCTCGGGGGTCATCCCCTCACGAAGTTTCAAGTCGCGGCGAGCAATCGCATCGCGAACCACGCCGGCCACGATGTTCATGCATCGCGTTTGGCAAGCCAGCAGCAGCTTCTGCCGTTCGGGCGAGGTCTTCTCCCAGATTGAATTCAGCTGAAGCACTTGCTCAACCCGGAAGTGGTCGGGATAAAGCCGCACAAATAACTCCGCAGCACAACCGATGGCCGTGCATCGCTCACGGGTATGCCCATTGAACTCTGCACCGCGGGCGAACATCGCCGTGCGTTTTTCGCTGGAGTTGATAATCAAAGCCATCAGCACTTCTTCTTTGCACGAAAAGTGCTGATAGATGGTCCCCTTGGAGTACTCTAAAGCCTCGGCAATCCGGTCCATGTTCAAACCGAGATAGCCCTTAGTGTTCAACATCTCCCGCGCGACGTTGAGGATGTCTTCCTCACGCTGATGGATTTCGCGTTGTTTCCGAGTCAGTGTCTTCATGCAGTCTCTCTCCATGACCAGGCACCCGCCGCCTAAGCCGCCCACCGGGTGCACCGATGTAGTATAGACACGACGTCATTTTCTGACTACTCGTCAATTTCTGTGCCGAAGCTTGGATTTTCTGCACGAAAAAGAAGGGGGAGGCCTACACAGAAATACCTTTAAACCACTGCAACAAAACATGTTGCGAGGACGAAACCGGTTCAATGAGCAATCAAGCCGACTTCGAGGGGCTAACCACCAGCGGGGGCATGGGGCAGTCCAGCGTGGCCGAAACGGCCCTCAGCAGATCGAATTCACGCACGGTCGTGCGGGCATCGGCCAAGATGCAAGCACTCACGGCTCGCATGATCCGCTTCTTGATCGCCGGCGTAGTTCGGGCCAACTGCTGCATGGCCTTATCGAATCGATTCAACGAACAGGCTTCTCGCGGCAGCAGCGGAGACTTTCTCCCCAGCTCATTCATACCAGCCCAATAAGCCGCCTCGACTTCGTGGGTTTGGTCGTAACCAATCCGAGCCAACGTGGACATTACAGTTTGCAAAGGTTCATCCACAGCCGTGAGCGAATGATAACGAACCCGGGGTGCCTTTCGTCGGCCGAAGTGCTGATCGAGATGGCGGACCACCATCGTCCACAAGACATACTCCGACTGATCGACCTGCTGATCGGCTTCAACCAGCGCCTGAATGTTCGCCCGAAACGCATCGTACTGGTGGGGTGAGAGCGTCCGCAGCGCCGTAAGACACAGATCGGCCAACGGAACCCTCGCCACATCGGGCACCGCGCGAACTATCTCGGCCAGCACCAGTGTTTGCCGGTACGACATATCTTCGGCGTACGCACGTAATCGTGCGAGTTGCGACTTCTGAACCTGCTCGTTCGCGTCGAGCAGCAAGGCATAGATCACCGCCCGCGCTCCGTACGATTCGCCGGCCACCTCCTTCAACTTCTCAGGAATCATCGCCAGCACAGCCGCCGCGTGTTCGAGGTGCTCGTCACCCAGCGAACCAATCGTCGAGACGACCCGAGCTGGATCAACTGCGGCCGACTCCATGACTTCGGCCGAAGGCTGTAATGCCGCAACCACTTCAGCGGCCGAAACCGGCGCTGCCGCCGAAATCGCGGCTGTCGAGTCAGTGGCAACCTGAGGACGATCGACCGGGCGAACTTCGTCGAAGCTCGCCTCGAACTCGGGCAAGATCCGATCGATGCGGTCGGCCAGCGGCGGATGGGTGGCAAACATGTGGCTTCGCAACGCATTGGCGAAGAACATGTGACTAATTTCCTGAGCGTGCGGATCGTCGATGCGGGCTTTCCTCTTCAACCCACCGATCTTCGCTAACGCGTCGGCCAGCCCTTGAGGGTTTCGGGTGAACTGCACCGAAGATGCGTCGGCCAGGTATTCCCGTTGCCGGGAGACCGCACTCTTAATGATGTTGCCGATGAAAACCCCTATGTAACCCACCACAATCAGCGTGATGGAACCGGCCAACAGGGCCAGCAGCACGGCCACCATTCCGCCGCCCTCTTTCCGATTGGACGATGATAAGCGAACGTGCCGTAGCGACCGCAACAGGTAGTAACCAACAAGAGCGATGACCAAAATGCCGTGGATAAGCCCGATGAGACGAATATTGAGCCGCATATCGCCATTGAGAATGTGGCTGAACTCGTGCCCAATCACCCCCTGCAGTTCGTCACGGTTCAGGTAATCGAGCGCCCCGCGAGTCACGGCCACTACCGCACTGTCTGGCTCGAACCCCGCCGCGAAGGCGTTGATGCCCTTCTCATTTTCCAGAATGTACACCGGCGGGACGGCCGTGCCCGAAGCAATGGCCATCTCCTGTACAACGTTCAGCAACCGCTGCTCGGCCAACCCGCCCGTGCCGGGCTGAACTAGTCGGCCTCCAAGCATGTCGGCCACCACCTGACCACCCGAGGAAAGCTGCGAAGTCTTGTATAAGCTTCCAAGGAAGATAACGGCGACCGTAAACAGCGCGATGTAAACGAAGAAGTACCAGTTGTACTGCAACGACCGCACGGTCTGCGTCACCACGTCGTTGCCGTAGTCGTAGGTACTGTCGCTGAGCACGATCGCCACACCGACCACCGTGCAAATCGACAGGATGATCAACACGACCGCAAGTGCGAACAGAACCACCAACAGGCCCGTCTTGCGTCGGGCCCGATCCTGGTGTTCAAAGAAATCCATCGCCATGTTGAAAAATCCACGCTGAACCGCAAGCCGATAAGCACTGCTTCGCTAGGAATCTAGATTCGCGATTTCGGGATTGCTCCCTACTTCACGTTTCTGCACTCGCTCCATCCCCAGAATTAGAACGAAACCTTGGGGGCTTCGCGTTCTTCGGGGCTGCTCACTTCGAACAGCTGCGCTTCCTGGAAGTTCAACATGCCGGCGAACAAGATGGCGGGAAACGTCTCGCGTTGCGTGTTGTATCGCATCACGGCGTCATTGAACGCCTGCCGGGCAAACGCGATCTTGTTTTCAGTCGAAGTCAGTTCTTCTTGTAGGGCCAGCATGTTCTGGTTGGCCTTCAAGTCGGGGTAGGCCTCCGACAGAGCGAACAACCGCCCCAAGGCCCCAGAGAGCATCGACTCGGCGCCGTTCAGTTGATTCATCGCATCGGCATTGCCAGGGTCGGATGCCGCCTTCTGCCCAGCGGAAACCGCTTGATTACGAGCCTGAATCACCGCTTCGAGCGTCTCCCGCTCGTGCTGCATGTAGCCTTTGGCCGTCTCGACCAGGTTAGGGATGAGATCGTTCCGCCGCTTCAACTGCACGTCGATCTGCGCGAAGGAATTCTTGTAGCGATTCCGCAACCCGACCAGCTTGTTATAGATGCCGACCACGAACGCAATCAGCACCAGTGCGACGACGAACAACACGCCAAGCACAATCAACACAGGGCCCATCATTTTCTCCCATCAACGGCAGCATCAGGCCAATTCCGACCCCCAGACGATAACCGATAGCACCGCCCCCGGCGAGGTCTCTCTCGCGACTAGTAGATTGAGGTGCAACGGGGTATTCGCCGCTGAGCAGTGAATATTGCTTTGAAAAGGCAGGGCCGGGAAGTTTATGGTCGCCTTCCCATGAATGCCGTCGACCTGAAACCTAGGGTCTGGGTATAGTCCTCGAATTCAAAGATCACAATCGATGATAGCCCTGCGCAGGCCATCATCTGTGCAATGCCGAGGAGCCATGCCATGACTCAGTCATTTAGGTTGTCGGTGTCAAATAAAATCGCCCTGGGAGTAATCGCGTTAACAGGAATTGTGATCTATAGCGTGTATTCTGAAAAGACGGCTAACGACTATGGCTACATTGCTGGGCTTTTGTCCAGTTTTCTGCTACTTCCGTTGCTCATCGCATGGCCCGTCTGGCGAATGAGTGGCCAAAGCAAATCCGCGGCAAGCCTGTCCTTCAATATCGTTCTCGCGTTGATGGTGATGGGACAAGCCAACCATCTTAAGAATGACTTGCGGCGACGGAACTCTATGCAAGACCTTGCCCAGCAGCGAGAGAACTTTAAAAGCACTGCAGCCGCCATCGGCAATCCGGACGATCTTGAAACTGTCGCTGCCGCATACATAGACTCAGTTCAGGCCGAGTTCACGCGAATGGCTGAGTCGAGCACCGGTGACGAGCAACTGTTCTATCAGGTGATGAGCGACTTCGTTCGCGAAACGGAGATTGCCTCACAGAAATGGACAGATTCGTACCATGCGGTGCTCGATTCGAGGATACTCGACGCCTCCCGGTTGACTTCCGAGGAAGAGTTTGCTTACCAGATTGGAGTTCTACACAACTATGTTGAACATACCCAAGCGCATGTCGCGTACGTTGCAGAAACAATCCCCCGCTTAGTAAACCATTTAAGCGTGCTTGGCGAAGGAAGCGAAATTGCCCGGGGAGCTCTCATAGGAGCTAAGCAGAAGCACTTCGCACAGAAGCCAATTCTCGACCCTTTCATGCAAGCCCATATCAATTATGGAAATAATATGATCTTCCTTCTCGAGCTGCTCCGAAAGAATCGAGATTGGTGGGAATACACCGGCGAGGAACTATCATTTCTAGATGAGGAACTGCTGTATCACTACAACGCTACGATTGAAAGAATCATCCAGAATGAAGCTGAGATCAATACGCTCGGTGAAAAACTGGTCCAGAGTATGTAGGGTGTGCACGAACACCCTCCTGCTCTACGCTCAATGCCCTACTTAATCAACGAAGGCACCTGCGTCGCCGGGGCATCCTTCAGCGAACCTTTCACTCCCAGCAACTCTGCAATCCCTTCGGTCAGCACGCCCTCAACCTCGGGTGCGGTTCGAGAAACGCGACTGGTCTCGTAACCACCTTGGCCGTAGGAAATGCTGGTGCCGATGTAGCCCGGGCCGTAGTCTCCGTAGGCGGCCATGCACACGAACTGCTCAGGCTGCATGGCCTGTGCGGCAAGTTGATACTCGATGAACAACTCGCCCGGCATGTGCAACACGCGGGCGTCGCCTAGGCTCAAGCAGGATAGCTCAATCTTCTGTCCGCCGTTGGCTCGCGTGAGGAACGACAAATCGCGAGCCGCACGCACCCGCTCACCTTCGTTGGCCTCCTTGTCTTCCAGCAGGGCTCGCAACTCATCTTCCATAAGTGTATCCCGCGGCGGGATCGCCACCGGGAGCACTTCCCAGGCAACGTCCTCTGCGGTGACTGGCGTCTTGCGAATGTTGTCCCACGCCTTCCGCATTCCCTCGGCCAGGCGACCGGCGAGCACGGGCCGGTTCTCGTGCGACCCGTCGTTGTACTTCCCCGCCGCTACGTTGCCACTGGCCCCATTGAAATGAACGTGCGTCACTTCCGGTACATCACTTTCCCGTATCGCACGGGCCATCCCGACGAAATCGGCACTCACATCCCCTTCGCGATAATAGCTTTGCGGATGGGTCGCATAGTAAGTCAGCGATGCAACCGGACGATCGCCATCATAGAACGCGATGAGCTTCACATTGGGGTCAATCACTCCCTCAGGCGCAGCCACCGCGTCGGGGTTTGTGCAGGAACTGAAGCGTACATACTGCACTTTGCCATCGGGCCCCAAGATGCGACGGTTCGAAGCCACCTTCTCTACTTCGGCCTGCCCCAAACCGATGTGCGAGATTTCCACCGGTGCCGAAACCGCCTCGCGAATCGCCGCGGCCACGCTGTCGATTGTGCGTCGGGCGAAGGTCATATCGAACATCTTGCCGCCCAAGCCCTGCTCGGCCAGCAGAGCCTCGGCCGAAAGATCGCAGGTAGGGGCATCGTGCTGATGCAACACGTGAACGCTCACATGGTGAATGTCGGTACCCGCCGCATCGGCCAGCGCCTCGCGCCACGCATCGTGGGCAGCGTTGCCAATTCCAATCCAATCGACCGCGCACAACACGATGGGGGCTTCGTCCGAAAGGATGACAATCCCGCGAGCACTCAACGGGTCGAGAATCCGCTCGGCCGGCATGTAAGCACAAGGGCTTCCCAGCGGCGGCGTGGCATCGACATTGAACGTAGCGATCCGCAGGGGCCCTTCTGCCAACGCCGTAGAGAAGACCGCCATCGCGAGCAAGACTCCCACGCCACATCGTATTGTCATCGCTCGCATGTCAGGCACTCCTCTGAAAACGGCAAAATTGCGGCACGAGTTCAATTCGACCCGCGATTTGGTGTACATATCCTACAACGATCTTGATACCTGGGTCGCGGGAATGCAATTATCGTCCGCTGAAATGTGTGCTAGGATCTCGAATTATTCTCAGTGGCCACACTGCTCGAACCTGGTCACGACTACATTCGCAACGCAGAAGGGCCGCATCGATGAGCATGCCGTTTGGCGACGAAACACGATCACTGAGCGACTTTGACGAACCCCAGCAGAAGCCCCGCCAGGGGTTGAGCACGTGGGTCATCGTCCTAATCGTGCTCGGCGTACTCGGCTCGGGCTTCTTCGTCCTATGCTGCGGCGGTGGTGTGGCGTTCCTCTACTTAGGAATGCAGGTCTTCGGCGAGGAGATCGCAAACGAACTGCGAGACAACCCCACCCTGATCGAACATGTGGGCAATGTCGAAAGCTTCGAAATCGACTGGATCGGCAGTGCTGCTGCCGACGGAGAGAACGTGTTCCTCTTCGATGTGAAGGGCTCGAAGGCCGAAGGCGTCGTGACCTGCGAAAGCATCACCCTCGACGACGGCAGCGAGTACATCAGTTGGGCCGAACTTGAACTACTGGATGGAACAACCGTTGAGCTGGTGAATGAAGAGAACCTGGAGTGAGGAAAGTTCTAGGGAGTAACCTCCGCTTCTGCTCCTTCTTCACCCCCAGCCAACTCCGCCACCGTCATCGCCATACCGGGGAACAAGGTGGGCGAGGCATCCATCAGCGACTGAAGCGCGGCGATGGTGCGGTTGGCCCGTTTGCGGTATTCGTCGTCGCCCAGCACTCGAGCCAGATAGGCAAGATTAGCGGCGGCCATCGCATTGCCCGAGGGGAGTGCCGAATCGACGGGGTCCTTACTTCGGGCCAGCAGCGTTTCGTGGTCGTTCGACGTGAAGTAGAACCCACCAAACCGCTCGTCACTGAATAGGGCGATCTGCGTCTGGGTTAGTTCTTCGGCCAGGGTCAACCACTTCTGATCACCCGTGGCTTGATGCAGCGCGATCAGGCCATCGACCAGGAACGCATAGTCGTCGAGATATGCGTTCAGCTTGGCAGTCCCGTCGCGCCAGGTGCGTTGAAGGCGCCCCTCGGGGGTGCGGAGATTGTCGAGCACGAAGTTAGCCGCCCTGGCCGCGGCATCAATGTATTGGGGTTCGTCGAGCAACCGCCCGGCGTCGGCCAGCCCGCGAATCATCAGCCCGTTCCAACTGGTGAGCACTTTCGTGTCGCACAGCGGTCGCTCTCGCCGATTGCGGCTTTCCAGTAGCCGGCCGCGAATCACCTCCAGTTGCCCACGAAGTTCCTCGGGTTGCATCTCCAACTCCACGGCCGTTTCATCCAGCGGGCGAGGCAGCAGTAGAATGTGGCGGCCTTCGAAGTTGGGCTCTTCACCGATTCCGTAGGCGGCCGAAACCAGCTTCAACTCCTCCGGCGACAGCACCTCGGCCAGTTCGGCATCGGTCCACACATAGTAGGCCCCTTCGTCGGCATCGGTTTCGGCATCGAGCGCCGTGTAAAACCCGCCGGCCGAATCGGCCATTTCCGTGAGAACATACCTCGCAATCTCATGGGCCACCTGGGCATAGCGCGGCTCGCCCAGTTCCTGATTGGCCCGCGCGTAGACCGACAGCAACTGGGCATTGTCGTACAGCATCTTCTCGAAGTGAGGCACCCGCCAATAACGATCGGTGCTATATCGATGAAACCCACCCCCAAGATGATCGCGAATCCCACCGGCAGCCATCGCGGCGAGCGTCGCCGTCAGCATCGCCCGGGCTTTAGGATCATCGCGGCGTTGAATCCGATCGAGCAGGAACAGCAACTTGCTGGGCTCCGGGAATTTCGGCTGTTTAGGGTTGGCCACCGAGTAACCAAACCCGCCGTATTCCGCGTCGAACTCCTCGCTCAGTTCGAGTGTTAATAAGTCGAGCCACTTCGCGCCGAGCGGATCGCCCACGATGGGTTGTCGCTGATCGAGCGACTGACGAACGTAGTCGGCCAACTGCTGACCCGTCTCGCGCATTCTTTTAGGGTCTTGCTGCCAGCGGTCCTGCACCAGTCGCAAGACGCTTAAAAACCCGGTACCACGCTCCGAATCGCGGGGAGGAAAATACGTTCCGCCCATCATGGGAAGCCCCTCCGGCGTGAGGAACATCGTCAACGGCCATCCCCCACCCTGCCGCGAGCCAATGGCGCGGAAGTAAATCTGCAAGGCCGTCATGAACACCTCATCGATGTCGGGCCGTTCCTCGCGATCGACCTTGATGCAGACGAAATGCTCGTTGAGCATCGCCGCGATCGCTTCGTCCATGAACGACTCGCGTTCCATCACGTGACACCAATAGCAGCTCGAATAACCAATCGACAGGAAGATCGGCTTCCCCTCACGGCGGGCCTTCTCCAACGCCTCGGGGCCCCACGGATACCAATCAACCGGGTTATGGGCATGCAACAGCAGATAAGGACTGGTTTCGTCAACCAGATGGTTCGTGTGCTTAGCAGGCTGCTGCTTGGCCGACTCCGGTTGTGCAACTTTTTGCGAGTCGTCCGTACCACCCTCCGCCTTGCTCTCCGAAGTGGCGGCATCCGGGTCGTTCTGCGCGGCCAAACTAGTTTCATCCGCCGGGCCACAACCCAGCGAGTAAATGCCCAGCAGCAAGAACATCGAACGATGTAGAGCGCGTCGAACCTTGTATTGCATCGTGAACCTTAATCCTCATCCGGCAACGGAGGTGAGGTGTTTGGCATTGGTGATGAGGGGGTCGTCGGACGAACGACGGTAACGAGTGTGAATACAGCCAGAAGCCCCATTGCCACAGGCATCGCCCAACGCATGCCATAGAAATCTTCCGACCAGCCCAAGGCGATGCGTTGCCCTCCATGCTCCAGAGAGTACTCCCAAGCTTGCTTCGAAAGCGATTCGCCTTCACTCAGCTCAACAAACACGGGTGTATCAACCTGCAACGTCTGACCATCGCTGAGCGTTAGCAGATGAACGTCGTCAAAGCCGGGATGCTTCTCGTGCCTTGTTTCTTTGTCCACGACTTCAGCATCTAGCGTAAGCGGAATCGTCGAACGGGCTGCGGTGACCCAGATATTGCCAATCGCCAGTACCGCACCACCCAGGAAGAGCACAATCGCGACCGCGACCCTAGCGAAACGCATAGTGGTACCCCTCGATCAGAAATCCCACACTCGCGATCAACGTAAGAACTCCGGCAACGATCGATGGCTTTCGCTCGGGCCAGGCGGCCAACAGTCCACTGCAGGCCAGCACAGCCCCCAAACTCTGATTGAAAAAGTCGACTTCATCGAACTTGGCGATCCGGTAAATCGAACTCTCGAACACCGCCCCCAAAGCAACCGCCGCGCCGCAGGCCACCAAAATGACCCACGGAGCTAACTTCCCGTAGACGGTCTCCGGAAGTGCCACAAGTAGCACGGTCGTCAGCCCAAGCGTTCCACCATAACCGGCCAGATAATGTCCCAGGTAGTCGCTGCGATGCCCCAACAACTGCCCGTAAGCAATGGCCAGAATCACCGCAGGAACGACGCAGAATCCAAACACTCGGGCCAGTTCGCCAACAATGGAATGAATCACGGAACGCCCGGCTGGCAATGATCCCTCCTCGGCGTTCATAGGGCGATAACAAACCTCAACCGTGCGCAAAGAAACTCGGCACTAACTACGTGTGATTGTTTCAGAAAGATTCAGAATCGCCCTGGCGACCGAGGTCCACGCGGCCAGTTCAGCCATACTGCTGCCCTCGGGCACCTCCAGCGGAGATTCTCCCACCGACAACAACTCAGCCGCGGCCGCTTCCTCTTGCTGATAATCAGCCAGATGTTGTTCGTAGAGTCGGCCCAACAATTGGAGTTCTTCCGTGCTTGGATCTCGATTCAGCGTCGTGCGGAAGGCGAAGCGAAGCCGTTCGTCGTTCGTCGCCCCTCCTTCCTCAACAATCCGAGCGGCAAAGACCCGGGCGGCCTCCACATAAATTGGGTCGTTCAGCAATACCAACGCCTGCAACGGCGTGTTGGAACGTGGGCGCTCGACCGTGCACTCTTCACGGCTGGGCGCGTCGAAAGCCACCATGCTGGGATGCAGGAAGGTGCGGCACCAATACGTATATACACCCCGCCGGTACAGATTCTCGCCCGAGTCTTCCTTGTAAACCCGTTTCGGGAAATTGAGATGCGCCCAATACTCGGCCGGCTGATAGGGCTTGGCGCTGGCCCCACCCATCTTCAATGAGAGAAGCCCGCTCGTGGCCAGGGCGTTGTCGCGAATCATCTCCGCATCCATCCGATACCGACCCTGCCTAGCGAAAAGCTCATTCTCGGGGTCTCGCTTCTGCAACTCGGGACGAACTTCCGACGCCTGTCGATACGCAGCCGAAGTAACGATCAGCCGCACGATGTGCTTGAGATCCCACTGGCTTTCGATGAACTCAACCGCCAGCCAGTCGAGCAATTCCGGATGCGAAGGCCACGCCCCCTGCGAACCGAAATCGTCGAGCGTTCGAACCAGCCCCTCGCCAAAGAACAGCTTCCACAGCCGATTGACCATCACCCGAGCCACCACAGGGTTTTCGGCATCGACCAACCATTGGGCCAAATCGAGCCGCGTGGCTCGACGGTCTTCGAAATCCAACTCACCCAACGGCTCCGGCACCTGCGGCGTTACGATCGGCCCCGACTCGTCCATCCAGTCACCCCGATGCAGAACCCGCGTCTCCATCGGCTCGACCGAGACAGAAATCAGCACTTTGGCAAACGACGCTTCGAGCCGCTGCTTTTCGGCTTCTAATTCCTTGAGTCGTTGCCGCACGGGCTCCAATGCAGGAGCAATCTCGCGATAGTGGGCCGCCAGTTGTTCGGCTTCCGCTTCACTGCGTTGGTCGGCCGGCTTGTTGAGTACCGCGGTAAGCTCGGGCGGAAGCTCTGTCTTCTTTTCCGCGGCCAATAACAGCCTCTGAGCAGCTTCCCAGTTGGCCTGGTCTTCCTTCAATCGCAAACTTGTGGAGGTCTGTTCTTCCTTCGCGGCCCCGATATTCTTTTCAAGCCGTGCTAGCGCCACGGCTTGTTCGGCATTCGGCACCGCCAACTCCGGCTTCTGTTCCTTTACGGCCTCCTCTTTGATATCCGCAAAGAAGGCGGCCAAGCTGTAGAAGTCGTTCATCGAGAACGGGTCGAACTTATGGTCGTGACATTCGCAGCATCCCATCGTGGCGCCCAACCACACGCTCGACACGTTCCGCACCCGATCGGCGGCATACTTCTTGCGATACTCCTTCGGCTGGGCTCCGCCCTCTCGCGTGGTGAGACTCAACCGGTTGTAGCCCGAGGCCACCAGTTGCTCAGCCGTCGGGTTCTCCAATAAGTCGCCAGCAAGTTGTTCGATGGTGAACGTGTCGAACGGCTTGTTGTCGTTCAAAGCCGCAATCACATAGTCGCGGTACGGGGCATGCTCGCGGTGATTATCACCGTGTATCCCGTTGGTGTCGGCGAATCGCACCAGGTCGAGCCAGTACATGGCCATCCGTTCGCCGTAATGTTGCGAGTCGAGCAGCCGCTCCACCAGTTGTTCGTAGGCCTCCGGGCTGTCGTCGGAGATGAACGCTTCGACTTCCGCGTAGTTTGGAGGCAAGCCAAGCAGGTCGAAGCTCAGCCGACGGATCAGCGTCCGTCGGTCGGCCTCCGCACTGGGGGCGAGTCCCTCCCGTTCGAGTCGGGCCAGGATAAAACGATCGATTTCATTCCGGGTCCACGTTTCGTCCTTCACTTCCGGCAGCGCGGGGCGACGCGGCGGAGACAATGACCAGTGCTGCTGCCAAGCAGCGCCCTGCGCGATCCATCGTTTGAGGACTTCAATCTCCCGTGGGGTCAGCGCCGGGCTTTCGTCCACCGGCGGCATCCGCAGATCGTCATCGTCGGTCGACACGCGATGGAACAACTCGCTGGCTTCCAAGTCGCCAGGGACAACAGCCTGAAAACCGCCGAGGTCGGCCAGGGCGCCCGCTTCGTTGTCCAGCCTCAACTCAGTCTGGCGAGCGTTGCTGTCGGGCCCGTGGCAGGCGAAACATTTATCGGAAAAGATCGGCCGCACATCGCGATTGAACTGAATCTTCTCCGGCACGTTCAACTCGGCCGCATTCGCACCACACACGGCGCATACAACCATGGCGCAGCAACATACTGCAATCAGGTTGTATTTCGTGCAGAAGAATGCCTGCATCATCACGGCCTTCCTGCCCCGGGTATTGCCACCAAGAGTCAGCCATTCATTCTAAACGCCTGGCAAGAACACCACAAAACCTACGACGGAGCCGCGACCTTAAACACCGCCTCACACAGCTCAAAACTGCAAATTGGGCCAGAACCAGATGAGCAGCAACGACACCACGACCGGCACGCTAAAGATGGCCACAACGCGTCTAAATAGTTTGCTCTGTCCCAGTACAGAGACAAGTATGGCCTTGAAGACGAGGTTCGAAATAGCCGCCGTAAGAATCAATCGCCAGCCCACACCTCCGTCTAGGCGACCGGTTTGCACCAGACGTGAAGTGGAAAGGGTGATGGCGTCCATGTCGGTCAACCCCGACAGAACAGCCACGGCGTACATCCCCTCGCCCGAGAGATATTCCTTCACCGCGGCCAGCGACCAGATCACCGCAGCATATAACGCCCCAAACGCCAGCGCGGCTCTCAGTTCCGAGGGATTCTTCGGCTCGGGGAACGGCTCACTCGACTTCCGTGGCTGCAACCATAGCGCCACGAGAGGCGATATGGCGGCCAGCAGAGCAATCAACAAAGGCGGTCCGGCCTGCATCAAGAACGTCGGCGCGACGACTAACACCTCGAGCAGCACTCGGGCAAACGCCACGGCCGATGCAATGCCGATCACCACAGCCGCCACGATGGTATGGGAGGCCTGCTCTGCGGCTCGTCGCGAATAACTAACTGTGGTCGCCGTGCTCGAAATCGCCCCGCCTAGTATTCCACCTAAGATGATGCCGGCGCGTTGACCGAACAGCTTATAGATAATGTAACCGGCAAGGCTGATGCCGACGATCAGCACGACCATCAACCAGATTTCAAAAGGGTTGAGCACGTCGAGCGGACCATAGGTCTTGTTCGGCAACACCGGAAGAATGATGCAGGCGATGATCACGAACTGCATAATCTGGCGAAAGTCGTCATCGCCCACCCGGGCCACCATCCCGTGCAGCTCGGGTTTGAACTGCAGCAACACCGCCACGGTGGCGCCCACCGCCACAGAAACAAGGGGTGGGGCAACTACGGTTAGCGCCCCCACCGCAAACATCAGCAGTACGGCAAACTCGGTCGTCGTGCCAATCTCCGGGTCGCGCTGACTCTGTTGTTGAATGGCTCCCCAGACAGTCACCCCACCCACAGCAAGGAATGCCGCCGCCAACACCCACACATCGAACGCTTGAGCCAGCAACGCGGCCACGGCGCCCAAGATTGTAATCATGGGGAAGGTGCGCACCCCGGCCAACGTCGAGCCTGCGCGTTCGCGCTGGAACCCAACCAGCAATCCGAGTAACAGCGCCAACCCCAGTTGGCGAAAGACTTCTTCCGCTTCAGGCACGTGTGATTCGCTTGGGCTGAATGAGAGAAGAAATGGCCGGCCCACGGTTCTTAGCCTACTTTGGATGGCCTCATGCAGCACGTCAAGCGCGGCCGTACGTTGCGAACCTAGAGACGCGATGGCGTTTCTGACGCCATGCCCACTCGAATGCGTGAATCTTGTCCGACGGGCGGTTATAGTCGGGATCGCCCAGGATATGGATCAGGCCGCAACTGATTGAGCGGGAGACATTCGATGCTGCAAAACAGGACGATCATATTTCAGCTTCTAGCCCTCTTGATGATGCTCGCCTCGTGCGAGTCCGCCATCGCCGCCAAGACTCGGCCGAACATCTTGTTCGTGTTCACCGACGATCACGCCTCACATGCAATCAGCGCTTACGGGTCGAAAATCAACGAGACCCCCAACATCGATCGCCTGGCGCGCGAAGGGATGCTGTTCGAAAACTGCTTCTGCACCAACTCGATTTGCGCACCCAGCCGGGCAGTCATCCTCACCGGCAAGCACAGTCATCTCAATGGTGTGATCGACAACCGGCAGAACTTCGACGGCTCGCAACAACATGTCGCCAAGCTATTGGGCGGGGCCGGTTATCAAACGGCCATCATCGGGAAGTGGCACCTCAAGAGCGAACCCACAGGGTTTGACTATTGGCGAGTACTTCCCGGCCAGGGCAGTTATTACAACCCGGTGTTTCGCACGCCCGATGGCAACATCAACATCGAGGGCTACACCACCGACATCATTACCGACATGGCCCTCGGCTGGCTGAAGGAAGGTCGTGAGCAGGACAAACCGTTCTTCCTCATGTATCAGCACAAAGCCCCGCACCGCGACTGGCAGCCTGGTCCTGAATACCTGGCGATGTACGACGATACAGAAATCCCAGAGCCCGAGACGTTGTTCGACGATTACGAAGGACGCACCTCGGCCGCCAAGACGCAGACCATGACCGTCCGCGAGCATCTCACTCCGCGCGATTTGAAGCTCACCACGCCCCGCAATCTAACTCCCGCGCAACGCAAAAAGTGGGAGGCAGCCTACGGTCCCAAGAACAAAGAACTTCGTGAAGCCAACCTGCAGGGCGAGGAACTCATTCGCTGGAAGTATCAGCGGTACATGAAAGACTACCTGCGGTGTATCGCCTCGGTCGACGACAACCTCGGTCGCGTGCTCAATTACCTCGACGAAAGCGGCCTGGCCGACAACACGGTGGTCATCTACAGCTCCGATCAAGGCTTCTATCTCGGCGACCATGGATGGTTCGATAAGCGATGGATGTACGAAGAATCGCTCCGCATGCCGTTCATCGTTCGCTGGCCGCGCAAGGTGAAACCGGGGCAAGTCGACGATCACCTGGTGCAGAACCTCGACTTCGCCGAGACCTTCCTCGATATCGCCGGCGTGAAGATCCCCGATGACATGCAGGGCCACAGCCTGGTGCCGTTGTTCGAAATTAAAGACCCCGCGGATTGGCGAGACTCGATCTACTACCACTACTACGAATGGCCCGGGGCCCATATGGTGCAGCGGCACTACGGCATTCGCACCGATCGTTACAAGCTCGTGTACTACTACCCCATCGACGAATGGGAACTGTTCGACCTCGAGAAGGACGCAGACGAACTGCAAAGCGTGTACGAAGACGAAGCCTATGCCGGCGTCGTGAAGGAACTAAAAACCGAACTGAAACGCCTGCGTAAGCAGTACGAGGTCGAGCGATTCGAGGAACCGGCCTGGCCGAAGCCCAAAGACGACAAGCTGAGCATGGCCTTATACTACGAATTCGAAAGTGCCGCTGGGAAGCAAGTCCCCAACACCGTGGGAGGTGGGCACGACGGGCAACTCACAGGCATGGCCACCGTCGTGCAATCGCCTCAGCCCGCGCTGCAACTTGAGGGCCAGGGGGCCGTAACCACCAACTCTACGGCGGCCCTCGACCCCTCGATGCGGGCCTTCACCGTCGGCGCGTGGTGTTCACCGCAATCAAGCGACGGCGTCGTCATCGCCCAGGGCGGCGAATCGCAAGGCTACAGTCTCTATCTCGACAAGGGACGTCCAACCTTCGCCGTCCGCTCCGGCGGCGATCTCTACACGGTTCAAGCCACCAACCCGCTGCCTACGGGCGAGTGGACCCACGTGGGGGGAACGGTCGACACTAAGGGGCGTCTTTCCCTAGCCATCAACGGACAGCCACAACCAAAAACAAAGCGAGGCCAGCTCATTAGCTCACAACCGGCCGACGGCCTCTCCGTCGGGGCCGACACCGGCTCCTTCGTAGGCAAGTACAAGACTCCAAATCACTTCCACGGTTCGCTCCGCGATGTCCGCGTGTATTGGGGCCTCATGACCGACGCGGAACTCGCCAACTGGGTGAAGTAAAACTCCAGCGATCTGCTCAAGAAAGGTCCTCGCACCTGAGCCGCAGATTCCGCCGCTTTTCCAACATTCTTGCTTGACAGGGCTCGGGCAAACGTCAATCGTGTTAAGCGTGGGGAAGTTTCTCGAGGTGCGAGACGCGTTCGAATTGTGCGTCTCCTTGCGAGCTGCGAACAATCGGGGCCTGGACTGTTCCATCGCCTTCGCGTCTTCCCCTTGCGAATCCGACCAATCAGGGGTGAAGCTAATGATGCCTTCCTCGCAATTCAATCTGCCTAAACGTGCAAGTCTGCGCCCAATGCGGATTCTTCTCGGCTGCTGTCTCGCCTTCTTCGCGATCCCCGCCCTTGGCCAATCTCTCAATAACACCGGGTTCGAAGGCGGAACACTCAATGCTTCTCCCGGCTACGGCCCCATTCAAAGCTGGTCGACCAACACAGGGAATAGCGGCAACAACGATATCAGTGGGCCATTCAATAATGGTGCCCCCATTCGCGAAGGTTCACGTGTTGCGTTCATTCAGGGTGCTGGGGCAATTTCCCAAACGGTAACCGGCCTGGAGCCCGGCAAGAACTACACCGTGCACTACCTGGAGAATGAACGAGGCTTAAACGCCGGGGTAGCGCCCGTGGCCATCGGTTCCGCCTCGCTGGGTGGACAAACCGTAGTAACACCCCATAACGTGGTCCGCACCGATGCCTATCGCCGTGTACAAAGCGATTCCTTCACAGCCACCTCCACCTCGCACAGCTTGTCGCTGGCCAACAATTTGGGTGCGGCCGGCGACAACACCTTGTTGCTCGATGGAGTCCGGGTCTCTCGCGCCGTTCCCAAAGTGATCAACGGCGGTTTCGAAGACTACCTGCTCGCTCCCGACTCCTTTCAATATGCCCCCAACGGGCAGCCGAACGTGGGCTGGACCTTCGTAGGCGGCGCCGGCCTTTCTCGCAACGGCAGCGGCTTCCAAGGCAACCCGCTTTCCGATCCGCCCTCGGCGGTCGCCACGGCAATCGAAGGCAACCAGATCGGCTTCCTGCAAGGCAGTAGCATCATGCAAACCATCTCTGGTTTCGAGTTGGGTGCTTCATACTCCGTAAGCTGGTTCGAACAAACGCGACTCAATGGCGGTGGCAGCAACGACTTGGCCGTGTACATCGACGGGGTGCCCGTTACCGGTTCCCACATCGTGGGCAACACCTCGTGGGCTGGCCAAACCAGCACCGACTTCATCGCCACGAGCACTTCGCACACGCTCGAGTTCCGCACGACGAATCCGCTGGGGGGAGACCGCACGACCTTCATCGACGATGTCTTCTTCAACTTCGTCGACGAGAATGATGCTCCCATCGCAGAGGCCAACGGGGCCTACGTGTTCGATGCGAATAACCTCACCCTCGCCTTGAGCGCCGCGGGAAGTTCCGACCCGGAGAACATGACGCTAACTTCCCTCTGGACCGACGGCGGCGGCACCGTGGCCACCGGCGACAATCCCACCATTTCGTTGGCCGACACCAATCTGGCGATGACCACCTCAACTGAAGTCATCACACTCACAGTCACCGATCCCGGTAACCTCAGCGGCACCGACACAGCAAACGTCAGCTATATCAATGCGGGCGTAGACGTCGTCACCGCCTCGGGCACCTCCAATCTCGATGGCTCGATCGACTTCCTCGGCACGTTCGATGATCTGGACCTACTAGCCAACACACTGGTGGCCAACTTCGAAGGGCTCACCTGGGAGTTCGACACGGTGGCGGCCAATTCCGCCGGCGAAGTGGGCGATGGCTTCCTCACCGGCACGGGAACCACGGGCGGAGGAAACGTTGATGCCCTCACGCTTGTCGGCCTCTTCGGCGGCATCGGCGACTACACCGCCTACGCCAACGTTCGCGACAAGGCCGGCACCATCGACACCTTCGCCTTCAACATCATGGTGGTCCCCGAACCCTCTTCCCTAGCACTCATGGCCCTGGGAATTGTGCCGCTGGCCGCGGGCATCTTCCGTCGGCGAGTGAATTCACATTAGCGGCGGCCTGAACTACTAGTGTGGGTGCCACTGCTGGCTCGTCCAGCAGTGAGAGTCCCAGACACGCATCGCCAACTTCAACTCGTCGCAAAACCCCGCATTCGTTTCTTTATGGGGTCGGTCGCTCAGCGAATCGCAATCGGTCGCATCGCAAATCCGGCCGTGGTGCCGGCGATGTTGTTGGTCATGGCGATGTAGGTGAACTCGTGCACCTTGTCGCGGGCAAGACCTTCCAGATCGTGGAATTCCCCGATGTGCACGCCCTGCTCGATCAACAGGTAGCGGTGCACGGGAATGAACGTGTCGGATGTTGGCTGCGGCGGATTCACTTCCAGCCCACTGGTGTCGGCCCCGATCATCATCGCGCCAAAGTGTTCGACCAGATACTTGGCCGTCTCCAGCGTGATCCCGGCCGAATCGTACTCGGCCAGTTGTTCGACGTTGGCCCCTTCTTCCCCCCAGTAGCTCAACACGCCGGTGCGGATTAATACCACATCGCCGGGCCGCAGCTTCACGTTCTGCCGCTCGATGGCCGCATCGATATCACTGGGGGTGATCGCGTAGTGGCTCGGGAGCGCTTCGACGCTTCGTACGCCCGCGATGTCCAACAGAACACCACGAGCCACAATCGGCGGGATGGTCGTCGCATCGCATTTACGAACCCCGAAGTTCCCGCCCCAATCGGCTTCGCGAAAACCGTTGTACCAGTGGTTGTCCTCGCCCACCGTCACATGCCCCAATCCGTCAATCTGCGTGGCCACGTTGTCACTGATAAACAACGCACAGCTATGCCACCCTTGCCCGCTGCTATTTACATCGGGTAAGGCGAATTCTTGATCGGCCTGGCGTTTCACCCCCTCGGGCCCACGGAACGTCATCACTTCGCAAGGGCTGTGGCCTGGCCATTTGTAGCTGGCCCGGCTGTATCGTACACCCAGGTCGTAGACAACTCCTTCCTTGGCCAACTCAAGCGCGGCCTTTACGGTGCTGGGAGTCATCGCGTTCAGCGAACCCACTTCGTCGTCTTCACCCCAGATCCATCCCCAGCCCTTACCCTCGGTCCAGCCTTCGATCGCGGACGACTCTTCATCGCGCCCGCCCGCCACGGGGCCAACCCACGTGAGTACCAGGCCCGTCATCACCAGGGCAGTCAACAATCCGGCCAGAAAGCTACGCGGTTGCATCAGGAATTCCCCTTGTCACCGAGATAAGAAGCACGCACCAACGCGGTGGTGGCAATTCTAGGTCGACCAGAAACCGGCCGCAACGAAATAGAAAACGCCGCTCGGCAACGACGCCGCTTCACACCACAATTCGCTTCCAGCCGCCGTGAAGGAACCGGTAGCTGACCAACGTCGCCCGTACGTAAAGATCGGCCAGCATGGCATACCAGGCCCCGTCGACACCCCAGCCCCAGCTTTGAGCGAACAGGTAAGCCAGCGGAATACGGACTCCGAGATAGCCAATGATCGTAAACAACAGCGGCCAGCGAGTATCGCCTGCTCCGCGCAGCGCACCGACCAGCATCATATGAATGGCGAGCGCCGGCATGCCCAGCGCGACAATCCGCAGCAGCGGGGCCGCCGTTTCAACCACGTCGGTTCGATCGGCACTCACGAAGATGTCGACCAGCGGGATCGATAATGTGAAGAAGAGTACCCCCGCGGCGATGATGATTCCGCCGCCGACCAACAGGGCCATCAACACACTGCGACTGGCCCTCCGATGATCGCCCGCCCCCAGATACTGCCCGACTAGCGTGGTGGCGGCCACCTCGAACGCCAGCCCCGGCAAGTAGGCCAACGATTCAACCCGAATTGCAATCCCATGCGCTGCGGCCGCCAGATCGCCAAGCTGGTTCACGATGGCCACGAACCACAGTTGCAGGCTGATTATCGTCAGCACGTCGAGCCCGCCGGGGAAACCAATTCGGCACACCCGACGGATCAGCGGAACATCAGGCACCAACGAACGCCAGTGCAGCCGCAGTCCACTACGCCCGCGAATGAGCATTCCCAGCACCATCAGCCCGCCGACCAGGTGCCCACTTGCGGTACCGATGGCCAGCCCCTTCCAACCCATGTCGGGCATTCCGAACAGCCCCAAAGCCAGCGGCCAACTCACGGCCACGTTCACCACGTTTACAGCCACCATCACGATCAACCCCGACACCGTATCGCCCGCCCCGCGGAGACAAGCAATGCCGACCACCTCCAGCATCGAGGCCGGCAACACCGGCAGAAAGATCCACAGATAGACCGTCGCCCGTTGGGCCGCCGTGTCTTCAAGCTGCAGCAGCCGAATCGCATCGTCGCAGAAGAACATGCCGGTGATGGTCGAGATAACCGCCAGCACAATGCCGACAATGTACGACTGATCGGTCACCTTCTGTGCCAGCTCCCAATCGCCGGCCCCCACGAAGCGGGCGACCAGGGCCGTGGAGCCAATCGAAACCAGCAACCACAGGCTCGTCAGGAACCACATCACGTAGTTCAACAGATTGATGGCGGCCAGCTCTGGATCACCGAAGTAATGGCCCGTGAGCACGGCGTCGGAGTAGACCACCAGAATGGTCAACAACTGTTCGGCCAGCACCGGCAGTGCCAGCCGCAACAAAGGACGCAAGGTTCCGGCGGAAAAGGTGTCGGGATTCGACAAGGTGAGCCTGCGAGCTAAGAGGGCGTGTCGACACGGCACCCAAGAGCGTGTGCCGCGGAAGGACGAATGCCGGAACCAAAGCTCGCAGTATCGGAACGCAACGGCAAACCGTCAAACGGGCCAGGCGTGTAGGGGAGCTGCCAATTGCATAGCAACTGATGGCAAACCGCGATATTCAGACGTCACTGAGCACGGTTGGACCAGCCAACCGTGACACCCAGAGAAGCACTCTCGCCTGCTACCGAAATCTACGGCGAACCGAACCTTATGAGAACAGCTCGTTGATCACACGGCCGCTGTTAGCGATCTTCATCGGGCGGCCGTTGAGGCTCGTGAATGTGGTTGTGAGCGGAATGCCCAGGGCTTTGAGCACCGAGGCCATCACGTCTTGTGAGGTGTAAGGCTCGGTGGTCACGCGGAGACCGTTTTCGTCGGTCTCCCCGACAGCGATACCACCGTTGATCCCGCCACCACCGACGACCACGCTCCAGGCTCGGGCCCAGTGATCTCGACCCACGTTGGCGTTGATCCGCGGAGTACGTCCGAACTCACCCATCCAGATGATCACGGTGTCTTGCAGACGGCCGCGCTCTTCCAGATCGCTGATCAAGGCGCTCATCGCCATGTCGAGTTGGGGCAGCTTGTTGTTCCCCAGGATGTTGAACACGTCCTGGTGATTGTCCCATCCGCCGAAGTCCACCTCGACGAAGGGCACGCCAGTTTCCGTGAGCCGTCGCGCCATGAGGCACCCGCGACCGAAGGGGTTGTCCCCATAACGCTCACGCATGGCCTCGGGTTCGCCATCGACCTTAAACGCCTCCATCTGTTGGCTGGTCATCAGGTCGACGGTCTTGTCGAGAATCTTCGAATGGTCGACCGCCGCGGGACCACGACCTTCAGCGATGAAACGATTCTCGAGCGAGGCCAGCATGTACATCCGCTGGTTGAGTCGCTGACGATCGACATCCATCTCCAAGTTCCGCACGCGGCCATTCGAATCGACCACAAACGGCGAGTAGGCCATTCCCAAGAACCCAGGCCCTTCGCTACCACCGCCGATGGAGACGAACGGCGGAATCTCAAGATCAGGGGTTTGCTCGATCAACTCGTGGCTCACCACGGCCCCATAGCTGGGGTGAACAATGTTGGGGTTGGGCACATAGCCCGTGTGCATGTAGTAGCGACCGCGATCGTGATCGGCCTCGCGGGTGCTCATCGAGCGGATGATCGCCATGTGGTGCATCTGCTGAGCAACCTTGGGCAGGTGCTCGGAAATCTGCACATCGCCCGAGGTCGCAATCGGCTTGAACGGTCCACCGGTTGCGGTGCCCGGCTTCAAGTCCCACAGGTCGATCGTGCTGGGGCCGCCGCCCATCCACAGCAAGATGGCCGACTTGTTCCGCCGCTTCAGATCGTCGGCGTTCGCACGCAAAGTACCGGCGAAGTTCATCGCCGAGCCGACCATGGCCGAGCTGGCCGCCAAGTGCTTCACAAAGTGTCGTCGCGACATGCCTTGCGGGGTGGTCCAGCTTTGATTCATGGCTCGGTTCCTCAGCGATCTTTATTAGATGTGGCCTGCTCTGTCCGTTGGTTTCAAGTGCCCCTGCTTCGACCGGCCCTGAGTCTAGCATCCGCGGGGCCAAAACTCTCGTGTTTTCTTTAGTGATTCAAGATGAACTCGTTGCAGTTCAACAACACCCACCACAGGTCTTTCATGGCCTCCAGGCTGTCGCCTCCACGGGCGGCCCAAACCTTGTTGGCCATCGTCAATTCCTTGGGCGTCGGCTTGCGTGCTAAAGCGGCCAGGTACAACTGCTCGACCTTGTTCTGATTCTTCACGTCCGACATAGCCAGCTCGTAAACAAAGCTGCCCGGCTTGCCGCAGGTGGCGTCGTGCACCAGTTCGCCGTTCATCATCATCAGCGTTTGCGGAATCGTGCCGTTGAACGTCGAGGCCTCGTCACCTTCATCGGTGCCGAAGGCGATAGTGAACTGCTGCAGCCATTGCAGACGCACCCGTTGGCGGTCTTCGTAACTACCCCGGCCCGCTTCGTCAGCGGCGGTCGCCACGATCAGCGAATCGTAAAGCTGTTCGGCGCTCATCTGCCGTAAGTAGAAGCGACTGAACAGCGGGGTCGCCCCCGTGGTCGGATCATCAATCTCATTGTCTGAACTGGCCCGACTCGAGCGTGCGTAAGCTTCGCTGGCCGTAATCCACCGCAGCAGCTCCTTCAGGTCGTAGCCATTCGCGGCGAACTGTTCGCCCAGGTAGTTCAACAAGTCGGGATTCGAGGGCGGGTTGTGCGGGCCCATGTCGTCCACAGGCTTGGTGAACCCATAGCTCAACAGTTGCCCCCATGTGCGATTCACGATGGCCAGCGAAAGCTGAGGCGAGTCCAGAATCATGCGGGCCAGCTCTTGGCGACGCACCACATCTTCGACGTAGCCGCTGTGGTTCGTGAGTTCGGTCCCATCGATGAACGTGGGGAATACCGCGTTGAGGGTCGAGCGACGGTTCTCGAAGAACACCGTGGCTTCCATGGGGTTATCGCCCGACTCACCGGGGAAGTCCTCATCGACCAACTCAACCGAGAGAATGTCGCGGCCTTCTTGCGTTCGCAAGGCACGCGTCTGGCGGAAGAAGGCGTTCATCCCCCAGTACTGATCTTGCTTCCACTCATTAAACGGATGGTTGTGACACTGCGTGCACTGAACCTGAACACCAAGGAATAAACGCGACGTGGTTGCCGTCGCCTGCGCGGCGTTGTCTTCCAAGTTGTTCAGCAGGAAGTTGACCGCACCGTTGAAGTTCTCTTCGCCGGGTTTGTTCACCCCGGTGGCCGTGATGAAGTCGTGCACCATCACGTCGTACGGTTTTTCAGATGCCAGTGAATCGCGAAGGTATTTCTGCAAACCTTCACGATCGACCAGGCTCCGCCGATCGGTCCCGCCGGTGCGGCCAATCAGCAGGTTGGTCCAGATCGTAGCCCAGTGATAGATGTATTCGTCTGAGTCGAGCAGATCGTCGACGAGCTTCTGTCGCTTGTCGTCTTCGTCATCGTTCAAGAAGTCGAGCAACTCATCGCTCGAAGGTATACGCCCGATGAGATCGAGATACACCCGGCGGCACCACTCGCCATCGGGAGCCTCTTCCGAAGGCTTCACACCGGCGTCCTTCCAGGAAGCCGCGAGCATCTCATTCACCGTGGCGACCACCTGCTCGCTCGAGTCAGGGGAAACCGAGCCAGATGGTTCGCCTGGCCGCTCACTGCCATCGGTCCGATCTGCCGCCAGGGCCGCCGATTGGGCGACGCATAGAATCGCCGCGAAGAGAAGCACGGAGCGGGCTCTGACAGCTCGGGCCGGGCGTTGGTGCTTTTCCACTGGCACCGGCACCATTTTGCGACGCGAAACCCACCAAAAATGGCTCATCATCTGACGTAGCAACCGTTCGAGCATAACGACTCCGTGACTCTCGATGCCATTTGGTGAAAAGGACTTACGGCAATGCCTTCATGTTAGACGATCGGTGTGGCGAATCCAAGAAATCGGATTTAATTCGCCCGCTGACCTCGCTCTCGCCGATTGTTGGGCCCCGCGGCATTCCCTAGGGCTTCTTTCGAAGCTCAGGGCGCCGAAAAAACACAAAAAAAGCCAGTCTGCCAGGCGAGTGGGGATCGCCAAGCAGACTGGCTGGTGTTCAATTCTGCAACACCTGTTCAATTATGCTACATCGATCGAACACCAACGAGCGTTTTGGGCGCCGCTTTCGCAACTCCCAGGCTCATGTTCCGCAATCGCTTGCGAAACCGGCAACGCCAGCCTCAACTCTGTCCGTTGCCGTCTTCTCACGTTCCCTAACCACTGTTCCGAGTGGCGTTTACGTGATGGTTCCTGGAGGAACCCTGCTGCCTCTCTCGATTCCAGTTGCCTCTTCTTTGTCCTGGAATCTCTCTTCCGGCCCCGTCCGGCGGCTCGCTGCCTTAAGGCTTACCGCCATGCTCAACTCAAGTTCCGGAAGATCTATAGGCAACTGGCATGCCAAAACCTATGAACCCATCAAACACCGTAGCGTGCGCGCTGGCACGCACGAGTTGTTGGTAGGGAATTGGCCTCTCTGAATTCGTGCGTGCAAGCACCGCACGCTACGGGCGAAGACCCGGGGCTTAAGTCGATCAGGCCGACTGCTTGAACTGAATCTTGTGCAGACGTTGGTAAAGCCCGCAGCGGCTCGCTAGTTCGTCATGCGACCCCACGTCGAGAATCTGGCCCTCGTTCATCACCACGATGCGGTTGGCCAGCGTCAGGGTGCTCAAGCGGTGGGTGATAATCAGGGCAGTCCGCCCGCGGATGAAGCGTTCGATCACCCGATGGATCACCTGCTCACTCTCCAGGTCCACCTGGCTGGTGGCTTCATCAAGAATCAAAATCTCGGGATCACGCAAAATTGCCCGGGCCAAGGCAATCCGCTGCCGCTGCCCTCCGGAGATCATCCCGCCGCGGGGACCAACAATCGTGTCGTAGCCGTCTTCAAGCTGCTCGGTGATAAACCGGTGGGCATGGGCCTGCTGGGCGGCCTCGATTACCTGATCGCGAGTCGCACTGGGGGTGCCGTAGCGAATGTTGTTTTCGACCGTATCGTCGAACAGCAACGTTTCCTGGGTGACCAACCCAATCTGCTTGCGGATGTCGCGGAGACGAACGTCCCGAATGTCCGTACCGTCGAATAGCACGGCTCCATCGCCCGGGTCGAAGAATCGGGGCACCAGGTTCAGCAGCGTACTCTTCCCGCAGCCGTTGGGCCCTACTATGGCCACGGTTTCACCAGCCGCCACCTTTAAATCAATCTGCTTTAGCACCGGTGTTGAGGCATGATAGCCAAACGACACGCCTTTGAACTCCAATTCCCGCGACAGGCGATGCAGCGGCACAGGGTTCTTGGGGTCTTGGATCTTGGGATCGCGATCGATCAGGGCGTAGATCCGATCGCATGCGGCGGCCGCACGCGTGATGCGGGCAAATACGTCGGACATCTTCCGAGCCGGATCGCTAACACCGGCCAGCAACGCGTAAAACACCAGCAGCTCGCTGATTCCCAGCGGACGATAGCTGATGCGAATACCTAACAGATGCGTTTCCTGGTTAATCACCAGATAGGCCCCGGCCAAGATCGCCACGCAGATGCTGGTGATACCCATGATTTCGGTCAACGGCCGCGTAAGGGCATCATATCGAGCGATCTTGAGCGCCTTCTTGTAGTACTTCTTGCTGTTGTCGTGGAACCGTCGCCGTTCGTGCCGTTCCATGGTGAACGCCTTCACGACCTTGATGCCTTGGAAGGTCTCTTCCAAAACGCCGTACAACTGCGACATCTCTTCCATTGCCTTGCGGTTGGCCCGTTTCAGGGCCTTGGCCAGCCAGCCGATCAATAGAGCGGCTAACGGCGCAACGACCAGCGACAACACCAGCAACCGCCAACAAATCCAGCCGGCACCGATGAAACAAGCCAGCATCTTCAGCGGCTCGCGGGTCGCCTTACCGAACAGATTGCGCAGCCCGGCCGAAAGGCTTTCCATGTCGTAGGTAAAGCGGCTCATCAACTCCGAGCTACCGTCGACATTGAAGCTGCTGAGGTCCATTCTCAGGCTATTGCGAAAGAACTGATTGCGAATTCGAAATGTGGTGATCTGCGACAGTCGGGCCACCAGCACCGAGTGTGTAATGAAGAAAGCACTCTTCAACACGGTGCCCACTAGCAGCAAGCCCGTCAGGGCGACCAACGTCGCAAAGGGCGTTCGCGGCAAGTAGCGTTCGACGTAGGGCTGCGCGATGCGAAAGCGGGCGATGGCGTCTTCTTCAGCCTCACGGCGGGTTTCAATCAGGCCGATGCGGCGATTCAGCTCGTTGACCTTGGTCGAATCATCCTTGGTCGCGTCGATCTGCTGGTCCAATTCCTTCCGCTCGGCATCCAACTCGCCAATGGTCGTCTCCGAGGCCTTGATCTCGTCGCCGATCCACTGCTGAAGCGAGCGCCCCTCGAATGCCACCGTGGCGAAGGGATAGACGGCCGTGATGTTACCGCCCCAAAGAACACCGACCATCAACGCACAAAGAAGTGTTGAGGCTACCAGCAGGCGCTGTTCCATCGCGACGCGCAGCGCCCTACCGAGATTATTCATGCCTTCGCCATCCGTGGTGCCAGCAGTATGTACGGCGAGCCCCCTCGGCGCACGTTCCCTGCCGAGGACTCACCACAAGTAGGTAGATAAGAGTCGCGACTTTTACCAAAACGCCCCGGGGCAGCCAAGAGCGGTGCTGCGTTCGGCTCACGCACCTGGCGAATGGCGTGCTGGCACTCCCGACGATTCGGATCCAATTCGCGGAGAAAACCCCGAACCTGGGGCCAACTTAGCTTGTCCCACCCCGACTCAACGAAGTGATTTACCCGACGCTTGCAGTGGCCTAGAATGCACCCTTCTTTTTCCTCACTCGGGGGTACTGCCGGCCGGAAGGCCAGCGCACTGAAGGACCCTTTCACGGCGGCAAATTAGACAAGCGAGGCATGCGATGGCGGATTTGGGTGGAAAGACACTGTTCATTACGGGGGCAAGCCGGGGTATTGGGTTGGCGATTGCCAAACGAGCGGCCCGCGATGGGGCCAACATCGCCATTGCCGCGAAAACAGCCGAACCGCACCCGACCCTGCCTGGCACCATTTACACCGCGGCTGAAGAAATCGAAGAGGCCGGCGGCAAAGCCCTGCCCCTGGTGGTCGACATCCGCTACGAAGACCAGGTGCTCGACGGCGTCGCGAAGACTGTCGAGAAGTTCGGCGGCATCGACATCCTCATCAACAACGCCAGCGCCATCAGCCTCACCGGCACGCTCGAGACGCCGATGAAGCGATACGACCTGATGCACCAGATCAACATCCGCGGCACGTACCTCTGCTCGCAAGCCTGCCTGCCGCATTTGAAGAAGGGCAACAACCCTCACATCTTGAACAACTCGCCACCGCTCAGCATGAAGGCCAAATGGTTCAAGAACCACGTTGCCTACACCATGGCCAAATACGGCATGAGCATGTGCGTGCTCGGTATGTCGGCCGAACTCGAAGACGACGGTGTGGCCGTCAACGCGATCTGGCCCAAGACCGCTATCGCCACCGCAGCCATGCAGATGCTCGGCGGCGACGAAGCGATCAAAACCTGTCGCAAGCCCGAAATTATGGCCGATGCCGCCCATGCCATCCTCACCAGCAACAGCCGCGAATGCACCGGCAACTTCTTCATCGACGAAGACGTTCTTCGCAAGCACGGCGTGACCGACTTCGATCAATACGCCGTGGACCCCAGCCAGGAACTGATGCCGGACTTTTTCCTCGATTGAACTCAGCAATAAGCCTGGCCCGAGGTCACGCGACGACCTCGGGCTCGTGAGACACGGGTTCAGACCAAAGCAAGCACCCATGAGTATCGAATCACTCAAAGGCCATTTGCTCATTGCATCACCTTCGTTGGGCGACCCCAATTTTCGCCGCACGGTGGTTTTGATGATTCAACACGATGAGAACGGAGCCTTTGGGCTAGTGCTGAACCGCCCGGCCTCGGTTTCGATTCAAAACGTGTGGGAGCAGGTCAGCGAGTCGCCTTGCGAAATCGAGGGCACCCTGTACCAGGGCGGACCGGTCGAAGGCCCGCTGATGGCCATGCACGACAACGCGGCCCTTTCCGAGATCGAAGTCATCCCCGGCGTTTACTTCTGCGTGGGGGCCGACAGCATGCGAACCCTGGTTACCGCCAAAACCCACACGGGCCGGTTCTTCATCGGGCACGCGGGCTGGGGTAGCGATCAATTGGAAAACGAACTGGCCGAGGGCGCTTGGTACACCCACCCAGCCACGCCCGAAGACGTTTTCGGCGACGAAAGCGAACTGTGGGGCCGCTCGCTGAAAGCCAGCGGACGGGCACGGCTCGAAAGTTCCTTAGACCTGAAAGACATTCCCGACGATCCGTCGATGAACTGAGGAGCGCCCGCGGCCGCACACGATTCCACAAGCAACCCACCCGCGGTCAAACGCAAATCGATCACCATCGCTCGCTCGGATATTCCCCAGCGATGCGGCTATGGACTCACAACCCTTCGTACACCTGATTACTTGATGAGAACCTTCCATGAGTGAACCGCTTAATAAGATCAGCTCACGCATCACCCAACCGAAAGCCCAGGGCGCGTCGCAGGCCATGTTGTATGCCACCGGCATGGTCGAAGAAGACATGAACAAAGCCCAGGTCGGCATCTCGGCCATGTGGTACGAGGGCAACCCCTGCAACATGCACCTCAATCTGCTGGCCGCCAAGGCCAAAGAAGGTGTCGACGCCGCAGGATTGGTCGGCATGCGGTTCAACACCATCGGCGTCAGCGACGGCATCTCGATGGGCACCGAGGGGATGAGCTACTCGCTGCAATCGCGCGACCTCATCGCCGACTCGATCGAAACCGTGATGGGCGCCCAATGGTACGACGCCAACATCTCCATCCCCGGCTGCGATAAGAACATGCCCGGCTGCTTGATCGCCATGGGCCGGTTGAATCGCCCCTCACTCATGATCTACGGCGGAACCATTCGCGCCGGCTGCGCGAACGACGAGAAGCTCGATATCGTTTCCGCCTTCCAAAGCTACGGCGAATACCTGGCCGGCACCCTGACCGAAGATCAGCGGCAGTCGGTTGTCCGTCATGCTTGCCCCGGTGCGGGTGCCTGCGGCGGGATGTACACCGCTAACACCATGGCCTCCGCGATCGAAGCCATGGGCATGTCGCTGCCTTACAGCTCTTCCACGCCGGCCGAAGACCCCGGCAAGATGGACGAGTGCATGCGGGCCGGCGAGGCCATTCGCGCTTGCTTGGAGAAAGACCTGAAGCCACGCGACATCATGACTCGCGATGCCTTCGAAAACGCCATGGTTGTGGTGATGGCCCTCGGCGGCTCGACCAACGCCGTGTTACACCTCATCGCCATGGCCCGAGCTGTCGAGGTTCCGTTGACCATCGACGACTTCCAAAAAGTGAGCGATCGCATTCCCTTCCTGGCCGATCTCAAGCCCTCCGGCAAGTTCGTCGAAGAGGACCTGCACAGTGTTGGCGGAACACCCGCAGTCATGCGATACCTGCTGGCCAACGGTTTGCTCAATGGCGACTGCATGACCGTGACCGGCAAGACCGTGGCCGAAAACCTGGCCGATCTGCCCGACCTGGCCGAAGGCCAAAAGATCGTCCAGCCGCTCGATAAGCCAATCAAAGCGACCGGTCACATCCAAATCCTCCGCGGCAATCTCGCTCCCGAAGGTGCCGTGGCCAAGATCACGGGCAAAGAGGGCCAACTATTCGCTGGCCCAGCCAAAGTGTTCGACAGCGAAGAACAAATGCTGGCCGCCCTCGAGCAGAAGAATATCGGCAAGGGCGACGTCGTGGTGATTCGCTACGAAGGCCCCAAAGGCGGGCCCGGCATGCCCGAGATGCTGACCCCCACCTCGGCCATCATGGGTGCGGGCTTGGGAGCCGACGTTGCGTTGATCACCGACGGTCGCTTCTCCGGCGGCTCGCACGGATTCATCGTGGGCCACGTCACCCCCGAAGCCCAAGAAGGCGGGCCCTTCGCCCTGGTGAAAGACGGCGACAAAATCACGATCGACGCCGAGAATAACCGCCTCGACGTAGACGTTTCTGACGAAGAGATGCAAAAGCGGCGCGACGCCTGGACGGCCCCGGCTTACAAGGCGACCCGAGGCACACTCTACAAGTACATCAAGAACGTGAAGAACGCTTCCTGCGGTTGCGTGACCGACGAGTAAGTCGCTCGCGACCCTGTGCTAGTGCTGAAACGGTTGGCAGCTCACCCCCGGTGACGTCCGCCATACCAACCGCCCGTGTCGGGAAGCCCCCGTTCTGCGCGACGCTCTTTGACCAACCGACGGTACTCGGTCATCTTAGCGCGGAACTCGGGGCTCGTGTGGTCGAGCATCTCGCGACGCCGTTCGTTTCGGCTGTTGGCGTCGCGAGGGCCTCTACTCCAACCCCCGCGTCCGCGATCGCCGCGGGTTTGATCGCCTTGCGACTGATCGGAGGAATCCGCTCGTTCCTGGCGGCGCTGTTCCCATCGCTCCCGCATCGCTTCTTCGCGGTCGATCTGTTCGTCGAGCGCGGCGTCGCGTTCTTCTTCCGACATGGCTAGGAGATTATCAACGTGCTCCTCGAAACGTTCCATCGATCGCTGTCGCCAGTCGTTGAACAACTCCCGGCGGTCTTCTTCTGAAAGAGATTCGACCTGCGTCCGAAAGTCATCACGTTGCTTGCGACGCTCTTCTTCAGAGAGATCGTCGTCACGGTCGCCAAACATCTCCTGCGCCGATGCACGAACACGGTCCAAGTCCGACTCTCCGCCGAAGTACGCGGCAGCCCAGGCGGCACCCCCAATCACGAGTACGATTACGGTCAACGCCAGCAAGGTTTTTCTGTTCATGAGTGAGGCTCCTATACGGCCACTGCACTCGCGCCGCATTGATAATCGACCTGGTTCTCGTTCGATTGGGTTCTAGGAAACGAATCGCACAACGTCAGAAAGGCGCAGCATGACCGTCGAGGTAAACAAAATTGCGCGACTTCTCGGTCTGTTCATCGCCGTGAAACGGTTTAAAGCAGTAGGCCAACCACACGTCGGAAGATGAGTAGACAATGTCGCCACGATGATCGCGTAGCAGTTCGGGGCGCGTCTTCCCTTCCAAGCGAGACGAGGCGTACTCGTAGCTGGTCCCCTCGTGCTCGAAGTAGTATTCGTCGCTGGGACAATAGAACGCTCCGTCGCTCTTCTCGATGAAGGGACCAATCACCTCCATCAAGCTGGGGCGATGTGGCGTGATGCTAGGCAAGTTCGCGGCGTAAGGAAATACGCCGAACGCGCCCTGCTGATCGACATACATCTGTAGCGCGAGGCCGATCTGACGAAGATTCGAAAGGCAGTTCGCCCGGCGTCCCGCCTCCCGGGCATATTGCACCGCGGGAATGAGGATTCCCAGCAGAATGCCGATGATGCCAATGACCGCTAGCAGCTCGATCAGGGTCATCCCGGCTCGACGACGCTTTGCGACTGAAGCATTCATGAACTTACCCCTCGGCCAGCATCATAAGCGGTTATATATACCGATTCCAGCCCAGGCCGCTGGGGCCGAAAACTCCGTTGCTTCCAACTAATTACAACCCCAGGAAGCCGCGAAGGTTTCGAGTCAGACGCAATTGAGGCGAGTTAATAGCAGAAAGGCAGTGCCGTGGGTCACTCAGAGTCTTCCTCGTCGCCCAAACCCACCATTTCTAACAGCCGCAGGGCGTTGGTGGTGGTGGCGATTCCCTCGCGGAGTTGATAGTCGAACGTCATCCGCCGGCGGCCCTCCTCATCGCGATCGAACGATTCCCGAAAGTTCACCGCGTGGCACGCTTCGGCCAGCGCGGGGGTTTCCGCCAGATGTAAATCGTGAGTGGTAATCGCCCCGATAGCACGATGCCGCAGCAAGTGGTCCATCACTCGACGCACGGCCGTTTGCCGCTCGGCACTGTTGGTGCCTAAGAGGATTTCATCCAGCAGATACACCAGCTTGGGGCTATCCTTTTCGCTCAGCTCGCGAGCCACATCCACGATCTCTTTCAGCCGCTTGAGTTCGGCCATGAAGAACGACACGCCATCTTCCAGCGAGTCTTGAATTCGCATACTCGTTTCCACGCGAATGGGCGGCATCTCGAATCGCTCGGCACAAACCGGCCCACCGGCCTGCGCTAAAACGATATTCGAACCGAGCGAGCGCAGCAGCGTGCTCTTGCCCGACATGTTAGAACCGGTGACCAACAAGAAACGCCCCGGCGGACCCAGCTCAACGTTGTTCACCACCCGGGTCGTCTCGGGTAGCAGCGGATGCCCCAGTTGTTCAGCAACCACGCGAGGTTCGGCCTGCGCGTCTTCATGCACCTTCGGGTACACCCAGTGCGGATGATCGTGGGCCACCGTCGACAGCGCGGCCAGCGCCTCCAACTCACCAAGCGCCGCGAACCAATCGCGGGCATGCGGCCCAACTTCATGCTGCCACTGCTCGACAAGGTTCAGCACGTGGAAGTCCCACAACGTTAATGCCTGCACCGGCAGGTACACCATCGGTGAGAACCGCATGTCGGCCAAGGCCACGATTCGGGCCAGGCGATCCAACTGCTGAGCGGCACTATGCCCGTTAATGCACAGTTCGCTCTGCAGTCGCTTCAACTCTGCCGAACCCGTCGGAAAGGTGCTGGCCAGCTCGAACAACTGCGCGTAGCGGCGAATCTCTCCCTCGCGCGACGAGATCTGCGAAAAAATTTCATGCACAGGGCCCAGCTTCCAGAAGCTGAACACAATCCCCACCAGCGTCGGCCACGCCCACCAATTGTTTTCCACGAACCCAAGCAATTGCAGCGCACCCAGAAACAGCGTGATCAACGGCAACACTCGGGCCGTCCAGAGAATGCCCCCGCGATCGGCCAGCCACGGTTCCGATTCGGCCCATCGCACAAACGGCTCGGTATCCGGAGGGTTGTCCGACATCGGCACGGCCAACAGTTCGAACTGCTGACGAAGATCGACCAACGGAGCCAACTCAGCCACGGCCTGCTGGCGTTCAACTATCTTCTCCGGAGTCGCCGGCTCCAACAGCCACCGACTAACCGTCGCCCGCCCGGTCGGCGTATGTGCCGTGCCCAACAGTTGCGCGAGCGATGCATGACCGAAGACGTCCAGATCGCGAACGAACGCCTTGTTCTGCCCCGAGCCCAGCGTTTTGTTCTCGGGCAGATCCTTCCACTTCCGCTGATATCGCAAAGCCGCGTAGTAATTGATATCCCGCAGCACGGCCAACTCATCGCGTTGCCGGCTCGCCTTTCGATGCACCACCACGGCCACCACGAAGCCCGCGAACACTGCCACGGCCGCCAGCAGCAACAACCCCTGCAGCAATCCGCCAGTGCCCAGCCCCGCAATGAGCAACACGAACGCGGCCAGAAAAACCCCCAACCGCACATGCATCAGCTTGGTAACCCGCTCCGCAACCTCCTGATGCTCCCCCGCAAACTTATCCCGCCGCTGGTGATACAGCCGCATGGGAAACGATTCCTGCGCGACCGACCGATTCGCCTCGCCCGACGACTCTTCCGAGGGCACCCCCTGGGGCTGCACATGATTAGTCTGCGTCAACTTCTTCAACCCCTCGTTTGCCAGGATAAATTGGAGTCCTCAAGATACACGGAGGAGGAGTGGTGGCCCAAGGGGAGGTGACAATCCATGACTGGTGTTGAGCAATTAAGATTTTCGTTGACCTGGATGCAGACCTCATTCGTCGGGGTCCTCAGCGTGTTAATACTCGCCGTATCGCTGTTCCCGACATTCGGACCTCCACACTTCCGATACACGGGTAGCGATCCCAACCGCGACGTCTGGAATCTCGGTTTTCCGCTGGCAACTGTTATCTATGATCCGGCAATGCCGCCGCACATCTTCTATGGTCCCGAGGCTTATGTGGTAGCCATGACCTTCGCCTTTGGATATCCCGCTATGTACCTCGTCTTTATTGCGTTCAACAACCGCTTGAATCTTGGACATTTGAGAAAGAGCATTGTCTGGAGTTGGAATACTGCTTCGACCTATTCTGAAAAGATTACTGGAAGTCTCTGGCGGGTTCTCAACGAATAGCCCCTATCTCGTTGTCTTGGTTTTGTCTCGCTGCTCCCTCCCCCACGCTGGATTAAAACATGCTCCTATGGCGGATCTGGGCCCGCGTGGTTCGGCAGTTTGACGATCGGGCGACGGCCGAGCGTTGGCGGGCAGTGGCATTCCGGCGATGGCTGGCCTTTTCGGCATTAGCTCTGTTGGCTGCCACCTGGAAGTTGTGGACTCCGCAGGAGGTATACCCGCAGGTTCCGTTGCTGTCCGTCTGGGCGGGACTGCCGGGCATGGGGGAATGGCTCACCGGGGGTTTGGTCGTCGGGTCGCTGTTGGTCGCACTCCTTTGTTCGCAGCAAGCGAAACTCTGGCGGGTAGCCCTCATCGTCTTTGCCACGTCCGTGGTGCTCTTATTCTGCGGCGATCAACATCGCCTGCAACCGTGGGCTTATCAGTTCGTCGTATTGGCGATCGTCTTAGCCGCCGTCGAACCGTGGCGGGCACTGGTGCTGGCCCGCATGTTAACGGTGAGCATTTATTTCTACTCCGCCCTGTCGAAGCTCGACCAAACGTTCCTCACCACCACGGGTGCACAATTCCGCGACACACTGTTGGGCTGGTTCGGTATGAACACCGAGTCACCGGCAGTGGCCTTACTGTTCCCCTTAGGCGAGTTGGCCGTAACATTGCTCTTGGTGTTCCGCCCAGCGCGAACCTTGGGCCTGTTTGGCTCGCTAGCGATGCACATGCTAACGATCGCCGTGCTCAGCCCCGTGGGTCTTTCGCATAGCTGGGGCGTACTGCTTTGGAACGCCTACTTCCTCGGACAGAACATCATCCTGTTCTGGTCACCTCTTCGCCGGCCGAGCGAAGAATACGCCACCACCGTCAATGACGAGGTGCGGTCCGCAGATCAACACCCTAAGACGACGGCCGGTGCATTCGCATTCTCAATCGTGGCTCAAGCCCTGCTGGCTGCAGTTCTCCTGTGGCCGCTGCTCGAACCCTTTGGGCTGTGCGACAACTGGATTGCCTGGGGACTGTACGCCCCCAGGGCCGAACGGGTCGATGTACTGATCGACGCGGATGATGCTGAGCGACTACCGCCGGGGTGCCGGGAGTTCATCGAAGAGAGCGACGCCGGAAACGGGTGGCGACAGCTACGACTCGACGAGTGGTCTCTGGCAACCCTCGGTGCGCCGGTCTACCCAGCGAATCGCTTCGAACTGGGCGTGGCCCTCGCCGTGGCTGAATCCACCGATCTGCGAGGGCAGTTCCACGTGCTGGCCTATGGCCGGGCGAGCCGCTTCACCGGCCGCCGGCAATTCCGCGAATATTGGGGCGCCACCGAGTTGCGTCGGGCCGCCAACGGGTACTGGCTGGGCAGGCTTCCGCGGAAAAACCTGTCGCCCGACCATCGCGAGTAAGGCCGAACGCGCCCCGATTTGTCACATAAAAAAGCTCGCAAGTGTCGGGCCCCTTCCCCAGCTTGACTCTGCTCTGGTCGCGGCCCACAATCGCTATGCCGTGCGTTTTTTTCGGCCTGGTGGGGCAACGAGCCGGGCACGGTCAGCATTCCCTCCACATTCAATCGGGAACTCGCCACAGACCAAGGCTGGTCGATCGGCAGGCAAGGAACGTCCACGGCGGCAACCCGCGACACACCAGAATAGAAAAGCGGCGATGGAGTTCAAAGAAGGTCAAACCGTCGGCGTCGATCTCGGCACCACTTTTTCAACCATTGCGCTGCTCGACAGCGAAGGCAACCCGGTTCCGATCGAGAACGAAGACGAAGATGTCGAAACCCCCAGCATGATCGTGCTGGCCGAGACAGGTCATGTCGTCGTAGGCCCCAGCCGGATGAGGGCCGCCATGGAACGGCCCGAGAACGTGGTCGACCGCGTGAAGCGGCACATGGGCAACGTCGAGTACAAGCGCACGTTCGACGGTCAGGAAATCACCCCCGAATTTCTTTCGGCCCTTATCCTGAAGAAGCTGCGACAAGACGCTGAAAAACGCGTAGGCACCATAGCCAACGCGGTGATCACAGTGCCCTACTACTTCAACGACGCCCGTCGCAAGGCCACGCAAGATGCCGGTCACATCGCGGGCCTGAATGTGGTCGACATTATCAACGAGCCCACAGCCGCCACACTCACCTATGCCTGGAAGCGGGGCGAACTGGGCGCCAGCGGAGCCCAGTTCGACAAACCGCGGCAAGTGCTGGTGTACGACCTCGGTGGTGGAACGTTCGACGTCACCTTAGTCCGCTACACACCAACACACTTCCGCGTGCTGGCCACCGACGGCGATGTGCACCTTGGCGGTATCGATTGGAACGACCGGCTGGTGGACTACGTGGCCGAAGAGTTCAAGTCCCGCCACGAGCTCGACCCGCGAGAGTCGCCCGAGACGCTGCAGATTCTTCGCAACGATTGCGACCTGGCGAAGATGGCTCTTACCGAAAGCGATAAAACAACGATCACCGTCCGCCACGGCGGTAAGGGCCTCAGCGTTCCGGTCACCAAAGACCAGTTCGAAGAAATGACCGGCGACCTGTTGCAGCGAACGCTCGACACCGTCGACCTGGTGTTGGAACAGGCCCAGATGGAAATCTCAGACATCGACGCGGTCGTGCTCGTGGGCGGGTCGACCTTGATGCCGGCCGTACCGCGGCGGCTCGAGGAGATGACCGGCATCAAGCCATACCAGGGCCTTTCGCCACATACTGCGGTGGCCCAAGGCGCCGCCATTCACGCGGCCATCCTCGACGCCCAACATCGCGGCGATAACAGCCCCTTTGCCGAAACGGTGCGTAAGCACTTGGAAAACGTCAAGCAAGAAGACGTGAACTCGCACGGGCTAGGCATTGCGGCGAAAAACCCCTCATCGGGCAAGGTGATCAACCACGTGATGATCCCCCGCAACACCCGTTTGCCGGTCGAGGTGAGTCGCACGTTCAAGACGAACGCCGACAACCAGCAAAGGGTTAACGTGCAAGTCATCGAAGGCGATGCCCCCGACCCGGCGGCCTGCACCCTGATTGGCAACTGCCGCATCAGCGATTTACCGCCAGGGCTGCCGAAGGGCTCACCAATTGAAGTGACGTACGCCTTTGACGAGGCGGGACGGGTCGTCGTGCGGGCCAAAGACAAAACCGGCGGCCGCGAGGCCCACATCGAAATCGAGCGTCGTGGGGGACTCAGCGACGCCCAAATCAACGCCTATACTAAACTGGCAAGCGACTATAAGGTCGAGTAGGTGGCCGCGGCGAGCCGCACCTTGAGAACCCTTTCTTGCCCGCCGCTAGACTCTCTATCTGTGGATTGAAAGCAACCGTTTGATGGCTGAAACCTTGAACGTCTATCGCGATTGGCTTGGCATTAAAGACGCCAAACCTCCGCTAGATCATTACACCCTGCTGCGGTTGAAGAAGTTCGAGGACGACCCTGCCAAGGTTCGCCAGCATTATCGTAAGCTGAACGCGCATGTGCGAAAGTACGCCGCCGGCGACTTCGCCAAAGAGTCGCAAGACCTGCTCAACGAGTTGGCCAAGGCCATGCTGTGCCTGACCGACGTTCGCCGCAAGGCCGAATACGATGCCTCGATTGGGCGCGAAGAAAAAGGCCGCGATCGCAAGTACACCTTCGAGCAGATTATGGTCGGGCGGAAGATCGTCACCACCGACCAGCTCAAGAAGGCCCGCGATTATGCCGACGCCATCGGGCTGGAAGTTCGCGACGCTCTGGTGCAGCAGAAGTTCGCCTCGCAGGATGTGGTAACCCAGGCCTATGCCGAATCGTTGGGGATCCCCTACGTCGATGTGAGCGAATTGCAGCTCAACCCCGAACTAATCCACAAGGTGCCCGCGGTCCTGGCCCGGCAGAATTCGTGTGCCCCCATCATGATCGACGATGGGCAAGTGCTGATGGCCTCGCCAAATCTGCTCAAGCCCGAGGTGGAAGACGAACTCCGATTGCGGCTGGACAAACCCGTCCGCACCGTGCTGTGCACATCGGCGGCCATCAACAAGGTGGTGGCCGAGCACTACACCCGCGAGGCGGCCGCCGCGGAAATTGCCTCCGGTTCCGACAAGGCCTCGCTGGCAGCGACCAAGTCAGGCAAGGAGAGCACCGAAGACGACAAACCCATCACGCCAGAGGATTACGCCGAAAAGCAAAAAGAACGGCGCAATCTGGCGATCGTGTCATTCAACTTCGCCATGATTCTCACCTTCGGGGCAACCCAGTTCTTCGAGCTGGGCTACATCATGGGGCTCACGTATGCCCTCCCGCTAGCCGCAGGCGTAGCCGGCACCGTGTACATGCTGAAGAAGTAGCCTAAGAGACAAGCTTGGGCTACGCACTATCGCCCAAGAAACGTGCCAGCTTTTCGATCGTTTCTGGCTTCTCGTATTCCAGCTTGCCGAAACCCTGCTCGGCACCGGCTTCAACGGCCAACTCTTGATGCTCGGGATAGTTGGTGACCAACATCACGGGCAACGTGGCATGATCGTCGTCGGCCTTCAGGTTCCGAATCACATCGAGCCCGTCGCTATAATCTCGATCGAGCTTGCGATTCACGAGCATCAGGTCGAACGACTCCTCGCCCAGGCGACTTTTGGCCTCTTTCCAATCGTCCACCGAAACCACCTCGGCGGCGAAACGCTCTCTCATCAGGTGGCAAATCGCTCGATGATCGACGGAACATTGCCCAACGCTAAGCACACGTTTCTTACTCACGGATAATTCTTCCTAAACAAAACAAGCACGACCGGCCGGAAGCCAGCCCCGACCGATCGTGCAAAGATTTCAGTATAAGAGCACCTCGCTAAGAACGAAATCTCGCGAGCCTTACTCTTCCTCTTCGGCCTCGATGGCGAAGAGGTGCGACTTGTTGGAAATGTAGAGCACGCCGTTGGCCACAATCGGGGTGCTGTACACGGCGTTCTCCATGTTGATCTCGTTGATCGGCTCGGCGGCCTCGGGATCGGCGGAGAGATTGAAGATGGCCACATCGCCGTCTTCGTCGCCAATGTACACCTTGTCGTCAACGATCAGCGGCGAGCCCCACGCGGCAGCCAACATGTCGTAGGTCCAATTCAGCTTGCCTGTCTTGGCATCCAAGCAGTGGAACAGACCACTGAAGTCGGCCAAGAACAGAATGTCGTCCTTAATGGCCACCGTACCACAGCTACGGTGCAGCGATTCTTCGAAGGAGAACTCGCCATCGCCGTCCAAGTCTTGCGCGGTGTAGTGCCACACCACGGCCGAGTTAGGGTTCGCCCGGGCGATCTCACCTTCTTCAGCAATCACCGCTTGAATCCGCTTATGCTCGATGGGGTTCTTCGGGTCGTCCACCTTGAAGGCTAACTCGGAACTCACATCGCCTCGCTTCGTGGGATCGATGCACCACAGGTGCCCTACGCCTTCACCGTGCTCGGGGTCTTGCCCCACGGCGATGTACACCAGGCCATCGTAGACGACCGGCGTGGCGATTAGATTATTTCGCGTACCACGACCGCCGAGAACCCACTTCGACTCTTTCGGGTTGCAGTCGAACTTCCACAGCAGCTTGGGCTTGCCGTCTTCGCTTTCGGTGCCATGGAAGGAGTAAAGCCAACCGTCGCCACCGGGGAACATCACCTGAGGCACACCACCCAGAACGGCGAACGAAGGTGAAGACCACTGTCCGTGCAGGATGTTGGTTCCCGGCGAACTGTCGGTCCAGATCACTTCGCCGGTGTGCTTGTTCAAGCAGATGAAGCTAGGTGCCTCGGGGGCGGGCAAGTTAATGTGCGACTCGTCGAGCCCGTTCGAGGTGTGAACGTACAAGTAATCGCCGGCCGAGGTCACCGAGCAACTGCACATGTTGTGCTGCGAGGTTCCCAACTCGGTCATCATGTCGAGATACCACACGGCGTCGGCTTCGTTGCCGGTGGGATGGGTCTCGTCTTTGAACGGGCCATCATTCTCGCCGTCGGCAAACCCTTCGGTGTCGAGGCAGGCCACTTGTCCGCGGCTGGTTACGAACCACAACCGGTCGCCTTCGATCAGCGGGGCACAGCAGATACCTTGCAGCGGCCAGTCATGCACACGACCGGTGGGCAGCTTCTCGCTGGAATGTTGCCACAGGAACTTGCCATCCGACTCGCGGAAGCACAGCAAGCAGCCCAGATCAACTTCGGCCGGGTAGCGTTCGAGCCAGCCACCGCCGTTGTTCGTGCCGACATAAACCTTGCCGTTGGCCACCACGGGGTTGCCGTAGGTTTGTGAGCCCAATCGCGAGACCCACTTGATGTTCTGGGCGTCGTCCTTCTTCCACTCACCGGTCTTGTAGTCGAATCCGCCAACGTCCCATTCTTCAGGGATGTTTTCGGCGTCGGGCGTGTTGTTGTGAATGCTCGAACCGCCCCATTGGCTCCAGTCGTTGGGCCCCGCCCCCACCGGCTTGGGATACGACTCGGTTTCCGTCTCAATCATCTCCACTCCGGCCAACGAGCTATCCGGCGACTCGGACGAAGGGGTCTTGGCCGTGAGACGGCCCGATGAGGCGAACAGTACGGCCCCGGTACACAGGGCAAGTAGAACGACAAAGTAACGTGTAGACATCGAAATCGGGTCTCCGATGGTTGCCACCGCTGGGCGGCAATAGGTTTACGAATGGTCATCGCTCACAAGAAGCGAGATCAGTTGGGAGTTACGCTGATATTGTCGTAGAAAATCTCGGCGTCTTTCGCGTTGCCGAACAGGCCCGGGCTTCCGTTGGTGTTGGGGGCTTCGTCTCGAGCCACCACGGTCCACTCCTCGGGTTCGGCCTCGTCGCGGGGCCACACCTTGCCTCGCAGCACGGCCACGCCGTCCTCCACTGCGGTGCGAAACTTGAGGTGGTACCAAACGTTCGGCTCCCACTTCAAAGGCACCGTTTCCGACATGCGAGACAGTTGAGGGGTCCAAGTGCGAATCTGCAATTGTTGCGAGTCGCCCATCAGGTCGAGCGTGTATCTCTGCCCGATCAAGCCGATATCGGGCATGCGACCATTGGTGATCGCCCCCATCACGTCGGCTTCAATCGTGTAGTCGTGCAGCTCGGGGTGGCCGATCCACGATTGGCTACGTGTGCCCTTCGGGATGGTTGTCACTTTCACCATCAGCGGTTCCCCGTCCACTTCGCGCGGTTGGTGACGATAACGGGCCCCAATCCACGTCAACGGAACCTGGCCATCGCTGAAATCGAAATGCCAAGGCAGCTCGGGAACCACGCGAATACGGGCGTCTCCCGTCAGATCACCAACCTTGGCCGTAACAATCACACCGCTGTGCTTAGGCGTACCTTCGGAACTTCCCGCGGCGATGAACGTGTTGCCCTCGAACTTCCCACCATTATCAGCCGTGAAGGTGGCTTCCACGTCGTCTTCCAGCAATTGACCATACGAATTGAACAGGCGAGCCCGAAACTTCAGCTCATCGCCCGGCTTGATCAGCGACTCGGCCGGTACTACTTGTACGTAAGCTGGATCAGGATGTTCTTGAACCGGCGCTTCTTCTTGAACTGTCGGGGCCGGGTCGACACCAACTTCGGCTTCCGGATCGGCCAGACAGTACAGCGTGTCGGTGGTTGGCAGGTAAATGCGGCCGCGATAGACGATCGGCGAGCCATGAACTTCGTTTCCAGCAGGGAGACGAAGGCGATGGATGATGTCCACGCCCTTCCTCTCATCGGGCTTCAGAATGTAGCACCGGCCATTGGCCGTGCAGGCGTAGATCTTCCCATCGGCGTACAGCAAGCTCGATCGCATCATCGTGCCGAGCTTCGTTCGCTTGGCCACTTGTTCTCCCGTTTCCGGATCGAGCACATACAGCCCGGCCGAGTCATCAACCACATACAGCCGGTTGTCGACCATCAGCGGCGAACTCTTACCGATCCGCAGTTCGCGTGTCAGCCAAAGTTCACCGGTCTCGTTGATGTCTCCGGTTTGGGTCGCATCCAAGCCGACCATCGCACCCATCGTGCGGCCGTCCATGTTCTCTTCGCCATTGCCGGCGTAAACTTTGTCGCCCACCACCAGTGGCGAAGTATTGAGACCCCGCATCGCCAGGTCGTACTGCCAAATCGGGCGGCCAGTGCGGGGCTCCATGGCCCACACCTTTCCGTCACCCGCTTCGAAGATCATCATCGCGCGGCCATCGACGACCGTCACGGTCGGGGTGCTATAAGTCGTGTCGTCTGGAAGCGGGGTGGTCCCTTCGAACCAAACCACTTCACCGGTGTTCTTGTCGAAAGCGAGGAACTGATGGGCCGGCTTAGCCATGTCGCCCCAACCGATGACCACAGCGCTGATGATCACCAAGTCTTCAAAGATCACCGGTACATTGGTTCGCCCACCATAGGTGCTTAGCAGGCCGTACTCTTCGCTCATCGAGTGCGACCAGATCGTCTCGCCCGTTTCGCCGTCGATGCACTGGAAGTATCCACACACACCCAGGGCATACACGTTGCCGGTTTCCGGATCGCCCACGCAGCACGACCAACCAACGCGTTCCGCGGGAACATCCGACAGATAGACGTTGAACTTGTTCTCCCACAAGATCTCGCCCGTGTCGGCATCGACACAAACAACCTTCTCACCCTCGCGAGGCGTATCCACTGCATCACGCATCAATTGATACAACTTCCCATTCATAATGATGGGCGTTGATCGCGTGCCGAGGTTATCGTTCTTCCAGAGAACGTTCTCCCCGTCAGGGTCCCAGCTATCGATGAGCCCGGTCTGTCGCGAGATACCGTTTTGCTCGGGCCCACGCCACATGGGCCAATCGATCGAGCCGACCTCTTCGGCCACGGCCTGGGTCGTTAAGAGACCGCCGAGAAGGACGAGAAAAGTGCGAACGACGCGCGAAATCGAACGCGACCAAAACCTGGTTTCCATGAAAGCCCTCTCAATTCCGAGCAAGGGGAGGCCGAGGCGAGTTAGGCGGGAATACTACTTGCAGTATATAGGTAGGATATGCCGGTAGAATGTGCCGAGCAAGTCGCCGGTCGCCGCTTTCCGGCCCAAGGAAAGGCGCCCCATTGCCAGCATTTCCGGGCGATTCTCGTCCATTCACCACGACGGGGGGCGAGGAAGTCCTGAGCAAACCGCGGAAGAAACAGACGCTCAGTAACCGGCAATTTCGCGAGAGAACCCAGCCAGACCCAGAACTGGATCCAACTCACTATTAAGAATGTGAGCAGCCCACGCGACGGCATCCGCCCCGAGCCAAACTTCGCCCTGACCACCACCACAGCGTTAGTCGTCGAACCATTCGTCCGCGGGATCGAACTCGGGGACAACTATATTCAGCACCTTCATCTTCCCCACGGCCCGGTGCCGAACGCCGGGGTGAATCACCACGCACATGTGCGGCTTCAGGTCGATTAGCTCGTCGTCGAGCTGCAATTTCGCGTCGGGCTCGCACTCCAGTATGAAATACGTCTCCGTCAGACGCTTGTGGTAATGCAGCCGGGCATCGAGCGAGATATCGACCACGTGCAACGTTCCCGGGAACTCGGCCACGTCGCCCAAGGCCCGCCGACTGGTTCCGCAAGGGCACGGCACACCCGGCACCTCGGCGAAGTCCACGATCTCAAAACGACGGGTGCTGGTCTCGCTCATGATCTGCAAACTCTGAGAATTGTGGACCACTGGGTGCCTTCGAAACTAACTCGCAGGCTTCGAACCAAATCTAACCTTCGAGACAGTTCACGATAGCACATCGCTGTCAGACTCTCCACAGACCGGCATTTCGGGGCCCGACCTGTGCTATCAGGCGATCCGTTCCGCTCAGCTAAACCTTGAGGGCATCGGACAACCGGCAAGGTTTTACCACCTTCTGTGTACGGAAGAGTTTGCTCAATAAGAGCACTAACCCAAGTGGTGAAAATTACTTCGGCTAACTCAAGGGTGCTGCGCGACGTGACCGATACCGTAGTTGTCGCCGGGAGTAGAACCCACAACTGGATCAATACTCACGGTGATCGTCGCCAGGTTATTACGTCTCCTATTAGCTAGGGACCAAGGCTACCAACCCCAGGCGACGCCCCAATACCCCACCCGAGCAAAGCACTCACACGAGCGCTTTGCCCCACCAAGACTATCACGCATTAAACGACTTTCGAGCGTACGAAGGTCGTCATACCTAAGGACGGGTTTTTGCGAAGCACCGAGTTGTTTGGTGCGCCGATCTGCGATTGTCAGAGTTTGAGATGCGCGCTACTCAAGTTCACTGTTAGAAGGAGACGTTGCTCGATGAAGTTGAAAATGTTCTTTGGAGCGCTTGTGCTCTCAGTGGGCATGTGTACCCAAAGCTTCGGCTTCGAGCTTCTCGACCGGATGTTGGGCATTGGCAACTATAGCCATGGCGGATGTTCGTCGAGTTGTTGTGAAGCAAGCTGCTGTGACCCCTGTGAAGCCAGCTGCTGTGACCCTTGTGGCTCTTCGTGCTGCGAGGCCAGTTGCTGCGACCCGTGTGCCGGATCTTGCTGCGAAGCAAGCTGCTGCGATCCGTGTGCGGGCTCTTGCTGTGAAGCTTCGTGCTGTGATCCCTGTGCGTCTTCGTGCTGCGAAGCTTCGTGCTGTGATCCTTGTGCCTCGAGCTGCTGCGAAGCCAGCTGCTGCGATCCTTGTGCTTCGAGCTGCTGCGATCCTTGCGGATCGTGCTGCAAGAAGAAGTGCGATCTGTTCGGTGGCCTCCGTGGCCTGTTCGATTGCCACAAGTGCAAGTCGTCTTGCTGCGAGCCGGCCTGCTGTGATCCTTGCGGTTCGAGCTGCTGCGAAGCCAGCTGCTGCGATCCTTGTGCTTCCAGCTGCGGCGAAGCCAGCTGCTGCGATCCTTGTGCCTCGAGCTGCTGCGAAGCCAGCTGCTGTGATCCTTGTGCTTCCAGCTGCTGCGAAGCCAGCTGCTGCGATCCTTGTGCTTCCAGCTGCTGCGAGCCGGCCTGCTGCGATCCTTGCGGATCGAGCTGCTGCAAGAAGAGCTGCTGCAAGAAGAAGTGCGGTTTCGACCTGCTAGGTCTCTTCAAGTGCAAGAAGAGCTGCTGCAAGTCGAGCTGCTGCCAGCCCACTTGCTGCAGCAGCTGCGGAAGCGCCTGCGGCAGTGCCTGTGGTGCTTGCGGTAACGGTGGTGGTGCTGCTCCGGTTGAAGCCGGTGCCGACGAAGCCGCTCCGATGCCGCCCGCCCCGATGCCCGACTCGTCGGCGTCTTATCGCCACAGCCGTCGCATCACCAAGGTGCGTGCTGGAAGCAGCAACCTCGTCGTTCGCAACTAGTTTGCAAACTTCGAGTACGAGTTGATTACGGCTTGCCCGAGGGAACGTCTCTCGGGCAAGCCTTTTTTTATGCGCACACCTGGCCACAAGACGCAGCTACGACTTCGCCAGGTGATCTTCTGCCAACCCCGCAGCGAAGCCCAATAGATCGTCTCGCTTGCGGCACACATCGACCAGCAGCTCGAACTCGCCCGACTCGCGGGCCATCTCTAACAACGAAGGGGCAAACCCGCTCGTGGGGGCTCCCGGAGGAATCAACTCGGCCCAAGTATCGATCGCTTCGCGGTAACGCCCCAATCGGGCCAGCAACGTCACCAGCACTTCGGCCGGGCCCGATCCGTACTCTTCCACCGAAAGCTCCTCGGCCTTCTTTTTGAAATAGCCCACGGCCTCGTCCACACCCTGCCCCAACTGCGCAGCAAAGAACAAGCCGTGGCTGGGAAACGAATCGGCGAACGGCTCTTCGCCGGCATATTGATAGGGTTTGCCTAAGCGACGCCCATACTCGGTCAAATCGAGCGCCTTACGCAGAACCTCTGGGTCGGTACTCAAGCGGGCGAAGCGAACCACGGCCCCCAGGTGCGAGGTATCGATATGATAGTTGTCGTTCTCAAAGATCTCCGGATGCTCAGCCACCAGCTCAGGCAGCGACTTCTCCGCGGGCGGTTCCGTGCCACCTCTTGCGATGTCGGCCCTGACGTTGGACGTCAGATCGCGATGTAAGAACTCGACCAACATGGTGACGATTTGCTTCAGCGCCGCCGGCGGTTGTTGGCCCAACTGCTGCTCGAACATTGTGATCGCATTGCAGATCCCATAGTTCTCCAGCACCAGGCGAAAACCAAACTCCGGCGACACACCTTCGCTCAAAGCAATCTCGAGCAACTGATCAAGATTCGTTTCATCGGGTTCAATCCGCTCGAGCGCCGCGGCAACTGGCGACTTGTCGCCCACGATGCGGTAGTACCGCCAAGCTTCTCCCACCCGATCGTCGGACAAGAGAAAATCGCCAATCTCACGGCAGGCCGCCAAGTACGCGTCTTCCAACTGCGTACGCATCGGATCTTCCAAATCTTCCAACCGCTGTGTCAGAATCACCGGCAGACCCAAGCGAAAGCGAGCCTGCATCAAGCGAACGTCGAATAGCTCGTGATATCGCTTCTGCTCTTTAAGCTCATTAAACAACAAGGCGAGCGCCGACTCGACACCCTGCTTTTCCATTTCCAATTCAAGACGTTCGTACGCTGATTTCGACATACTTCGCGGTGGGGTTCTCATTACAAACGATGGCAGACATTAGGAACGATGCACCCGCTCATCGTAACAGCCCCAAGCCCGGTTCACCATCGGAGCGAAGCAGCAGCCCGCCGCGGAACGACGCCCCTTATCGGAGTGATACAATGGCGTTAGCATGGATTCTACATCAGGCGCTGTTCCGCCCTTTCCCATTTCCCCGGTTGAATTCGCTGAAGTAGGACAACCATGGCCGAAGTAGCACAGAACTTTGCCGGTCTGCGAGTGGCCTCTCTGGAAAGCCGTCGCGCGGACGACATGGCCCGGCTCATCGAACGTGCCGGCGGGGTCCCTTCGGTCAGCCCTTCAATGCGGGAAGTGCCCCTGGAAGATCCCGGCGACGTGGTTCAGTTCGCCCGAGAGCTGATCGAGGGAAACTTCGATCTCATCATCGCCATGACCGGCGTCGGTCTTCGGCACTTGGTCGATCAAGCCCAAGCCGAAGTGGGACGCGAACCGTTGATCACAGCCTTGGCCAAAGCCACCATCGTGGCCCGTGGGCCCAAGCCCGTAGCGGTCCTCAAGGAATGGGACATCAAACCCGAATACCGCGTTGGCGAACCCAATACCTGGCGCGAACTCCTGGTCTTGCTGGAGGAAAGCGTTCAGCTCGAAGGCTCCCGCGTGGGTCTGCAGGAATATGGCGTGACCAACCCCAGCCTGATTGCCGGCCTTGAAGCCCGGGGGGCCAAAGTGCGTCGAGTGCAGGTCTATCGCTGGGACTTCCCCGACGACACCCAACCGCTCGAGCAAAACATCCGCCGCATGATCGATGGCGAGATCGACGTGGTGATGTTCACCTCGGCCAATCAGCTAACCAATCTCTACACCATGGCCGAGCGCTTAGGCGTTCAACAAGAACTTCAAGCAGCACTGCAACGCATTGTCATCTGCTCGATCGGGCCCACCACTTCCGACGGTCTCCGCAACTATGGGCTTTCGGCCGATCTCGAACCATCGCACCCCAAGATGGGTCACTTGGTAATCGAAGCTTCGCGCCGATCCAACGAACTGCTGGAGCGCAAACACCGGCTGGCCGCTCGGTTGGCTTCGCCCCCGGCCCCAGACAACGGAAACGAAAAGCCCGCCTGGTACGACAGTGCATTTATGAAGGCCTGCCGGCTGGAACCCACCGAGTACACACCCGTGTGGCTCATGCGACAAGCCGGGCGCTACATGGCCGAGTATCGCGATGTCCGCGCGAAGACGACCTTCCTCGAGCTCTGCAAGAACCCTCAGCTTTGTGCCGAGGTGATGCTTACGGCCGTCGAGCGGCTCGGCGTCGATGCGGCCATTATCTTTTCCGACCTGCTTCCAATCCTCGAACCGATGGGCCTGGAACTCGAGTTCGCCCAAGGCGAGGGCCCCCTGATCCACAACCCGGTGCGAGAGTCGTCCGACATCGATCGCGTGATCGAGCTGGATACCGTCGAGGCCTTAGACTTCGTCATGGAGACGGTGCGACTCACCCGAGAGCAACTCCCCAGCCACATCCCCTTGATTGGCTTCGCGGGAGCCCCCTTCACGCTGGCCAGCTATGCCATCGAAGGCGGGTCAAGTCGATCGTTCATCCACACAAAGACGTTGATGTACCGTGACGAGGGGGCGTGGAACTCGCTGCTGGAACGACTCAGCCGCTCGGTCGCCAGATACCTCAACGCACAAATTGCTGCCGGGGCCCAGGTCGTACAGTTGTTCGATAGTTGGGTCGGCTGCCTGGGTCCGGAAGACTACCGCCGGTATGTGTTGCCTCACACGCAGTCGATCTTCGCCGCGATACCCAGTGGCGTACCGGCCATCCACTTTGCCGCGGGCAATCCGGCCTTACTGCCTTCGGTGGTCGATGCCGGCGGACAAGTGATCGGCATCGACTGGCGAATCGATCTCGATCAAGCATGGAACACCGTCGGCTACGATCGTGCCGTTCAAGGGAATCTCGATCCACTAACCTTGCTGGCCGATAAAAAAACCATCCGCCAGCGGGCGGCCACCGTTCTCGAACAAGCCGCCGACCGCCCCGGGCATATCTTCAATCTCGGACACGGGGTAACAAAACAAACCCCCGTCGAAAACGCCATCGCACTCGTCGAGGCCGTACATGAACTTAGCCGCGAGCGCAAACGCGGCTAAGTCGACTCTTGTATGTTCCAAATGAAACCGGACGTTCGCGATACCAGGTTCGCGACCGTTTGCATAAAGGGGTTGCGCGGCGAGCAATGAGGCAACCCGCCGCGCAACCACACGTACACCGTTGACGAGTCGTGAGTCTACGCTCGACGACGTTTACGAATCGCGGTCACCGCAAGCCCCACCGCACCCAAGCCAAACATGACAAAGGTCGATGGTTCAGGAACCACGGAATAAGCTACCACTTGGCCGGTAACACCGGCGTTCAAGATGATGCCTTCAATATCGAGGGCCAGAACCATGTTGATGGGAATGATCATTTCTCGGCTGGCACCACCCAGATCGTTGATGATTCCACTCCCAGCACTGTTGTTCTGGGCGATGAAGCCATTAAATGGTTCTGCAAATGTGTCGGGAATTGGTTGGCCAAGTCCTAACGGAAGCGCAACACCATCAAAGTAGATGAGTGATTCGAGAATTCCGAAGTTAATCAGACTCGCGTCAAACGAACCGCCGGTCGTACCCGAAACGGCCAACTGAGCCGACTGGGCATCGTAACTGACGTCGTCAATGGCCAGATAACCAGCGTCAAGCGTTAGAATGGATACCGATGCTCGCACCCGAGCACCAAATACCGAGGGATCCGTCGATGTGTTGGAATATTGCCCATCCGGATTGTCAGCGTTCGTGTTGGCTGGGTTCCAACTGGCAGGGTTCGGACGATAGCTCCCCGAGGTCAGTCCGAAGATGTCGCCCGCGGCATGAGGTAGAAACTCGATCGAGTGGCTACCACCCTCGCTATAGTCGGTGAAGAGAGTGCCGCCCATGAATGCCGTATTGCCGACATTCCAGGGACCGCTGTTGCCACCGCTCTGGTTTCGAATGCGAACCGTGGCATTAGTTCCGTCGAGATCGACTGCAGTGTCCGCAATGGACAACGAGATAGAACTTTGCGTTTGATCAATTTGCCAAGCGATGGGTGCCGCGTTTGCCAGGCTGCTGCCCACGGCCAGGGATGTGGCTAATGCCACCAGGCGGAATCCAAAAATGCGTTTCACTAGCGTTCCTCCTTAACACGGAAAATAGGGTAAATCACTACACAATGCGCAAGTCGAAATGTTTAACCCCAACCGCGTTCACTCGGGTCTCTCAAATCCGCAAGATTTTTTAAATTTTTCTTACAAACCTTCGGCCAGAGCTTAGAGGACCCTCTACTAGGGCAAAACAAGTCCTCGGTGGCCCAATTATTGACGCGTTTGCGACAGACAACAGCCACTTAACGCATGGATTACATGGCCTTAATGGCATCAAGAAACCGGCTTTGATACCGCCCACAACTTCCCTTTTTGGTAGAAGCCCCAAGGCACGGCTACAGCTAGTGCAATTTCTAACCAAGCCTCTCTGGCAGCTAAGCCGTCTCCCTTAATACGGCCGCGTCAGATCCGGCGGTCAAAACCACACAGGCAATTGTCTACCGGACGAGTCTGCGTCTTCCATGGATCCCAAGCCACGGACGATCCACCGGCATATCCAAAGTGAAACGCTCCGCATTCAGACATCTCCCGCCATGGCACTCTTAGAAGCAACAGCCAGTTCGGCAGTAACAGAACACGCTCACTCGACGCTAGCGAAATGACTGCTTGTGGTGAATCTGTACGAAGGACATGGAGAAGATCCACAGTAAGAACAGAAGTACCGCCGGCCATCGATCCCCGAAAGTGTCCAGGCACCAAATTCCAGTGGGACCGAATCGACCGACAAGAAAATGCCTAATCTCAGGCAACCGAGATGGGGGAATCCCCTAAGAATTACGGGGGATGCGACAACCCGCCCAATACCTCAACTGCAACCAATGGGGTAACATGTACAGGGTGCGTAGACTTTGCAGCCTTACGACCCGCCCCAAACCGAACGCATTACAGCCCGCCAGTTCAAGGATCCGATTCAAATAGCCGTGGCAGTGCCAGCTACAGGCGCGACACGAGAAACTCGAAGGTAGAGACGGTCTGAGGGATTCAATGGAACGAAAGAGTGAGTTAGCGGAACGGTTAAAGCCGCTTCGTGCCTTGGATAACGTGACCAACCTGCGCTGCATCGCACGAGAGTACCTCACCCTCGCCGCGGCGATCGTGCCGGCCATCCTCGTCTGCGAGGCATGGATCCGTGGTTCTCTCCCCTTGGCAATCGTCATCCCAGTCGTAGCCTTGGCCGTCTTGGTCATCGGCTCTTGCCAGCACCGGCTGGGGGGATTGGGACACGAAGCCTCTCACTTCATCCTGCTGAAGAACCGGAGATGGAACGAACTCGTATCCGACTGGTTCTGCATGTTCCCCGTGCTCATGACGACCGAGTTTTACCGCCAAGTCCACCTGGGCCATCATGCCCATACGAACGACTGGGAACGTGACCCCGAATTGATCAACCTCGGCGAAACGCGCCGCATGGCCGATTTCCCTTTACCTCTGAGTGAGTTCGTCCGCAGTTTCGTCTTGCCCCCGTTGGCCCCCAAGCGGTTCTTTGCCTACCTGCACGACAACCTGTGCGTCAACATGCTCGGCATCGCCCGACATCCCTACATGATGCCCGAGGACTCCGCTCGGGGCGGACGTTTCGCTCCGCTTCGTCCCTCAACCGTATTGGGCATCGGATATTTGGCACTCATGGTAGGCGTGGTCTTCTACCTCACCTGGAATAGCAGCCTGACCGCCGTCATCACTGTGCCCATCGCCATGTGGGCGGCGGCCTCCGTGGTCACCTACCTTCTCCCCGAGCGGTGGATGTTTCGGTCGCAATTGAAACCGGGCGTTTCCACGCGATTGGTCAGCGTGCTCCGACTGGGGTGGTTCACGGCTGTCGTCACGGGCATCGCCATTGCGGAGAACACGACCGGTCGAGCATGGGCCGGATACTTCTGGCTGCTATGGGTGCTACCCCTGGCTACCGTTCTGCCGTACTTCGCCCTGTTGCGAGACGTATTGCAGCATGCCAACTGCGACGATGGCCGGCTCACCAACGCAAGAAATATTTACGTCCATCCGCTCATGCGTTGGGCCGTGTTCATCTACGGGCAAGATCTCCACCAGACTCATCACCTTTACCCAACCGTGCCGCACTACCGTTTGCTAGACGCCGAACACCTAATTCAGGCGAACGACCCGGCATACGCCTCCGCAGTGCTCGAATGCCACGGCTTGGTTCACCGGAAGCTCCCTGAACGCCCCGCGGTGATGGAAACCTTGACCCAGGAAATCGACTTGAGTCAAGGTGCCACCGCACCCACGGCAAACCGGGTCTTCACTCCGTCGCAAAAGCCGACGGACTTGGAAAAGCGCGAACACGAGCCCACGAGCACGTCCTGACTCGCATAGGCACCGCAGAGCCCGAAGCTACGGATTAGTATCCGTTTCTTCTTCGTCCACTTCGATCGTGTCGCCCAGCAGGTCCTGACTGAAGTCGTAGAAGAACCAGTCCAGATCACCGATGCCGCCAATGAGCGTGTCTTCCGCTCCGTCATCCACAATCGTCACGCCGGGTTGTAGTGTCCACGGGCCGTTCACGCCGGTGGAGGTGATGCCCTGGATGTTACTCACCCGTTCGGAATACGGTCGGGCCGACTTCCACTCCTCGTGAATCGACTGAATGGCGGAGTGTTGATCGCTGAAGAGGAAGTGATCACTCACCAACAAGTCTTCACCCCCACCGCCATCGAGCGTGTCGGCACCCAGGTAACCGTACAGCGAATCCCGGCCTTCGCCGCCGGAAAGGTAATCGTCACCATCGGTGGCACGTGTGCCGCCGATGAGGATATCGTTGCCATTACCACCGTACAGGAAGTCGCCCAACGACCCACCGACGATGATGTCGTCACCATCGCCGCCGTAGATCTCCATCACATTCCCCGGGCCCAACTCACCGGCCAGGATGTCGGTGAAACCATAGCCATGCAGAATCACTCGACCCGTGATTGCAGAGCCGAAGTACTCGAGCCGGTTGGTGGCAATGGCATTCTCGACCTGGAAATAAACCGACATACCCGGGGCCTGCCCCAGCACGAACACCGCATCAAACCCCGGCGTTCCGCCGTAGATCAGATCGGTATTACCGAACCCGTCATCCCGCAGAACATGCGGGGTAACTGTGATTGGCAATTGGCTGAAGCCGCCAGTCGAACCATCCTTGTCGGTCGCCCGCACCTGGATGTTGGTACCGGCCGTCAGGTTCGGGAACGCGTGCTGCACCGTCGTACCGCTGGGCACACCCAACAGCGTCTCATCAACCGTTCCGTTCCCGTCCCAGTCAATCTCAAAGTTGAACAGCCCCGCCTGGTCTACCGGCGAGGCATCGCTGGCCGTCAGCGTGAAAGTAACTTCCTCACCACGATAGATGGCGGCAGTGCCGGCAATGCTCGCCGTGGGAGCCAAGTTGTTCACACTAACGGTGGTCGAGTCGGTCGGCCCACCCACACCGTTGATTCTCAGCCCGATGGTGAACACGCCATTGTCGGTGGCGTTTAAGTTAACGTTCACCCCCACCGCATCGTCGTACTGCCCGTCGTTGTCGAGATCCCATTCGTAGAGTGTGGCACCTGAACTAAAAGCACCACTGATCGCAATAAGTGATCCCTCGTCGCCTGTATACGGCCCGCCAATAGAAGCCATCAATGGCGCGTCAACGGTAAGTGCAACGGGTACTGAATTTGCAGCTCCGCCGATGCCGTCCGAAACACGGACGGAAACTTGTACCGACGGGTTGGCTTCGCTGATGCCCAACGCATACAACGCGGCCCAATCCAGGGTGACCACTTTACCGACAGCATCACGATAGTCGCCGTCGCCATTGATGTCCCAGAAGTAACTAAGTGCTTCATCCAAGTCGGGGTCGAAGGAGGCCGACGCATCGAAAACGACTGAATCACCCACGGTGACCGTATACGGGCCACCGGCGTCGGCGATGGGTGCCGAGTTGGAGTCAGGACTGATCCTCCACGGCTCGATGCCCGTCTGACCGTCATCCACACTAAGAAACAGAGAATTCTTGACGGCCGTGAGATTCAAGGAGGAAAGGTAGCTGGAAATGGGACTAGATTGGAATTCGGCGATGACCACGGTGCCACTCTCCGTGCCGTCGCTCTCCCAAACATAGTTCGACTCACCTTGAGTCCAGAAATACAGTTTGTCGTCTACGGCCTCCATCTCCTTCAACACACCAAAATCCAATGGGATTTCTTTGATGAGTTGAGTGCCGACAGAAGTACCATCGCTGACCCACAAGTCACCCGCATAGTCAGAGAAGGAAGTAAAAAACAGTTGGCCATCGACAGCGGTCAGATAGCGTGGGTCCACCGGGCGATCTACAACTGCCAGGTCGATCACCATCTGCGTGCCCACTTCAGTTCCATCACTGCGCCATAGTTCTCTGCCGTTAACTCCGTCATCGGCGATGAAATAAACGATGTCATCAACAAGGGTGAGTTCATAGGGAAGGTTGAAACTGCTACCGCTTGGATTGATATCTTTAACGCGGCTCGTGCCGGCCACCGTACCGTCGGTCTTCCAAAGCTCCAGGCCATCGACTCCTGAGACCCAACCGGCGAAAAAGGCCTCGCCCGCAGAGTTGGTATGAATACCGCCCTCAAGCGAGATGGATGGTGTCAGACCGCCAGAGTCGACCACTGAGAAGGTACCCTCGGTCGTTCCGTCGCTAAGCCACAGGGGCCCATTCCACTCGTCAAGAAAGAGAAAATCGTCGTTGGCCGCCAATTGAAGTACGTCCACCGGTGTATCGAATAGGGTAGTCCCTTCTACGCTACCGTCGGTGCGCCAAACGTCGCTGCCATTCAAAAAGAAGGCCTCGCCATTGTATTCAACGAAATCGCGGGGCTCACTCAGAGTATCGGTGAGGCGAAAGGTGCCCGATTCAGTTCCGTCGCTCACCCACAGTTGATTTTGCGTAGTCTCGTCATCGGCGACAAAGAACACTTTACTGTCCAGGGTACCCAAGAGATCTGGGGGTGACTGGGAGGAATATCCATAAAACAGGTTATCTGCCTTGCCATTGGGCTGCACGTCTTTCACCAGCACCGTACCCTCTTCAGTACCGTCACTTCGCCACAGCTCCCACCCATTCACTCCATCGTTCGCTTGAAAGAAGGTGACGCCATCAACGGGGAGATACTCGAAAGGGAATGAAAACGGTGGCAGTTCCTCCGGCCAATCGGTCAATGGAATATTGCCCGCGGCGGTTCCGTCGCTAATGGACAGTTCGCGCGTTCCCGCTGCATTGAAGCCGATAAACATCACGTCGTTGCCAAACGGTGTAAGGTTGCGGGGGAGTGTGCCCGCAGATCCAAGACGATAGTCGCCGACCAACTGTGTGCCGAGTGTCGTGCCGTCGCTCTTCCAAAGCTCTTCACCGTTGGTCCCATCGTTAGCTGCGAAAAACAGACTGCCAGCGACGACGGTCAATTGGCTGGGATTGCTGCTCTTCGGTCCGGCATGGACATCGGCAACTAGCTGAGTTCCACCTGCCGAACCATCACTGGTCCACAACTCCTCACCAC